TACATACAAACCCTATAAACTTTATTTCCTGCCACACTGGATTGCTTTCAACAGATGTCCTGCATATTGCACTGCTGTAGCCTGGGGCAAGCAATCTATTGGCCACAGCGGGCCTTGAACTTCGTTTGGAGTCCTTCAGAGTCTCTCCAGGGTCGCTCCAATAAAACAGAGACCAATAGCCGAAAATCAAATCTGCCGTTTTCCCCATTTCCATCAGGAAGTTAAAATGTGCATTTGAAGCTAGCAAGATCCAGCAATGCAATCCTTCCAGATTTAGGGAGGGGAAAGGAGGAATATCCATCCATTTCATCCGTGTGAAATGTCTTCACTTCCTGAAAATGCTGCTAAACAAGTAGCCCATTCTATTGGTGACTTTAGTTGACACGTTTATAAGATTAGCAGAATGTGCCTCCCATTATTCCTTGGTGTTTATTCATTTCAGCAGGGTTTTTTTTCAAAGAAAAGGTTCCTGGATATTTGTTATATCCCTGCCCCGAGATATTTACAGAAAGTGGAATCAGCTTCAGAAAGTACAAGATAATGACTTTCCCTTCCCAAAACTAAGATTTTCCAAATGAAGTCCTTATGCAAATCATATAAAACCGATGTCCAAAGTCTCATTTGCTCCAGGGAGATTTGTTTTTGCAAGGTCTATTTGTTGGTTATCTGCTCTTTATTTACAATTGCTCATGGTTTTTTTTTTTTTTTTTGCAAGGAACCTTAGGAACAGACAATACTCAGTCAAAAGTCACTTCGTTTATTGTCAGTTCAAAAACCAGAGCAAATAACCACATTTGCACATCACAAGAAGGACTTGGAAAGCAGTGTTGCAGAGCTGTTCCAAGTGCCAACCAACCACGGTCTCCCTCAAGCTACTCCATTTCCCAAAGTTTCTGCTTTTCTTTTCCAACTAACGCTCAATACACTATGGCTACTAAACATGATTTCATTACAGCATGTCTCTTTGTGTTCACTCGTTCTATGTATGTTTGTGTTTGTAATTTGCTTCAGGGTCCTGATACATTCTTTTGTTTCACTCCCATTTCTACTGCAATTTCCATCTGAATTCACTGGTAAAAGTGCAATTTAGGTATAACGCAGGGGTGGGTTCTAAAATGTTTTACTACCGGTTCTGTGGGTGTGGCTTATTTTGTGGGCGTGGCTTGATGGTCATGTGACAATTTTTTAGGATTTAGCAGAGGTACTGGTCTACCAGGCTTTTAACTGCTTGCAGAGCTGTACCAGTCTACTCATTTATTTTTGCAGGCACCGGTCTACTCATGTATTTTTGCAGGCACTGGTCTACCTATTTATTTTTGCAGGCAGAGGTCTACTCATTTGTTTTTGGAGGCACCGTCTACCACCAAACTGCCTTTTACCACTGATCAGCTGTAGGGCGGCCCTTTGAAGCCCCACCGCAAGAGTTTAAACAGTTTTTTTCCTTATAGCCGATCAGCTGGGACTCAGGAGGCAGCAATAGATTGGGGGTGGGGCCAAATAAAAGGTAAGAATAACGTGGAGGGGGGCGGGGGGGCGGGGGGGCAGAACCAGTTCAGTGACGTCATATCGTCACCACTTCTGGCTCGGCAGAACCGGGCTGAACCAGGAGGAACCCATCATTGGTATAATGGCAAGTAATCCAAGGATAAAAGTACAGTACTTCAATACGGATAAACCAACCTATCTTAAATCTAAGATTTACAAGACAGCCATCCATCCTGTTGCACTGTATGGCACTGAATTCTGGGCAGCAACAACAGGGACCGAAAACATCTCCATGCCATAGAAATGTGAATGCTCCAGTGGTGAGATTCAAAATTTTTGAATCCCAGTTCTGTGGGCATGGCTTGGTGGGCATGGCAGGAGAAGGATACTGTAAAATCTCCATTCCCTCTGCACTCCAGGGGAAGGTTACTACAAAAGCCCATTTCCTCCCAATCAGCTGGGACTCGGCAGGCAGAGAATAGTTGGGGGCAGGGTCAGTCAGAGGTGACCGGTTCTCCGGACTACTCAAACTTTCTGCCACTGGTTCTCCCAAACTGGTCAGAACCTGCTGAATACCACCTCCGGAATGCTCCATTGGATATTGGGCATCTCCCTTCTTGACCACATCACAAATGTAACCATTCGACAACATTTTGGTGTGGCACCAATTATAGAGAAAATGAGAGAAGGCCAGCTCCACTGGTATGGATATGTCCTGAGAGCAGAACCTTCCACTGTTGCCAAGACTGCCTACCAACTAGAAGACCTTGTGGGTGTCCAAAACAGAGATGGCAAGACACTATCAACAAAGCTATGCAAGCCGTGGGCCGTCACCCTGGAGATGCAGCTGACTGTGCAAAATGGCGTTCAATGATCTGAAAAGTGGACCCTGCACTTACGGGAATATGAGAAGGAGGAGGAGGAGGAGGAGGAGGAGGAGGAGAAGGAGGAGGAGGAGGAGGAGGAGGAGGAGAAGAAGAAGAAGAAGAAGAAGAAGAAGAAGGAGGAGGAGGAGGAGGAGGAGGAGGAGGAGGAGGAGGAGGAGGAGAAGAAGAAGAAGAAGAAGAAGAGGAAGAGGAAGAAGAAGAGGAAGAAGAAGAAGAAGAAGAAGAAGAAGAAGAAGAAGAAGAAGAAGAAGAAGAAGAAGAAGAAGAAACTTCAATACAGATAATCGTTGACTTCCAACCACAACTGAATCTGAATTTTTCTATTGCTAAGCAAGACAGTTGAGGGAGTTTTGCCCCATTTTACAACCTTTCTAGCCATAGCTGTAAGTGAATCATGGCAGTCCCACCTGCCCGGACGTCTCTGTGCCTATGCAGAAGTGTTGCGTGAGCACGTCCATGAGCGAACCGGTAGCAACGGGATTTGAAACCCACTAATCTCAATGCAATGTGTTCCTGGATAACACATTACTAGGAAACATCAATAGCCATTAACACACTATTTAGGAGCTTTTGACTGTTTCTTCATTTCTAGATAAACTTAAGGTGATTTTAGAACTGTCGCCCTCCATTCAGCTCTTCTAATCTCCAGAAATCAAAAATATGTTGGTAAATATTGAAGTCCAATACATGTGGAGGAATAAGATTGAATCTTCAATGGAATTGAAGGTGATGAGAGTTCTGGTGGAGCAATCTGAAAGCTACTAAATTGTAGAAGGCTGAATTAGGAGCTGAAAAAAGTATTTTAGCTCCCGTTTCATCCTAAACCTTCTTGCGGTGGTTTTTAATGAATGCCAATTCCAAACTTCTCATTCTCTTATTTAAAAACTGATTATGGGCAGCAGGTCAAGTGTCAGTTTTTAGCAACCAAATAAGACATATATTCTCCAACAGCATCTGTGACACAACTTGGTTCTTCAGGCCTTCTAACAGCACACCCACTGCTGTTGTAATTGACTGCATCCATCTTGCTCCTGGGTTGCCCTCTCCTTTGCCTTCCTTCCACCTTTCCCAGCGTTAGAGCTTTCTCCAGAGAGCTGGGTGTTTATATAACGTATCCAAAGTACGATAATCCAAATGGGTCACTGAACACTCAGTTATAGGAAGGCATATAAATGACCCCACAAAAAAGGTGCCAGGCTTCGAACTATCACATCAGCAATGGACAATCCTGAATAGCTTTCGCATCTCACATAGCGTCTGCCGGGACTGTCTGTATAAATGGGGCATAGTATCGTCCCCTCAGCGTGACTCCAGGGTTCCATGTCAAGCTGTAAATCACATCATGACCGGCCATAAGATGAGGGCTTACAATCAGATTTTTTTAAAAGAAAAAACAAACAGTGCTGTGCTTCAAGGGTTAGATGGCCTAGACATTCGATACTGGAACATAGATCTTTTTAACATTTATATTTTATTGGGTTCTACTAATTTAGTAGAAATGTTAATTTCTATTGGTAGTCCTTGTATCAGGGGTGAAATCCAGCAGGTTCTGACAGGTTCTGGAGAACCGGTAGCGGAAATTTTGAGTAGTTCAGAGAACCGGCAAATACCACCTCTGGCTGGCCCCAGAGTGGGGTGGGAATGGAGATTTTGCAATGTCCTTCTCCCAGGAGTGGGGAGGGAATGGAGATTTTGCACTATCCTTCCCCTGGAGTGGGATGGGAATGGAGATTTTGCACTATCCTTCCCCTGCCATGCCCACCAAGCCATACCACACCACGCCCATAGAACCAGTAGTAAAAAAATTTGGATTTCACAATTGCCATGTATATGTCACACTTGTGGGAAGAAATATCCATCTGGTTCAGTTCCAAGCTGGGAGAAAGACACTGGAAACATGGAGGCAGATTGGAAAGATCGTTTAATGATGAATAGAATCACATGGGTTCTGGTGCAGCCGACCACCTGGAGTTGAGTGATGGGGTTTATACCTTCTCCTGGGCTTTGTACTTGAGCTTCCTGTTCCTGTGCAAGAACATGTTATTCTATTGACTGTTGTGGGGGTTATGTAGGGATCATAGCTGGCTCTATAGGTAAAGTACAAATTCTAGGTGTTTGTCTGATCTAAGTTTGGTTGAAGTTTCTGAGGGTGATTTAATGAAGGGGCATTGGGCAATTCCTATTGTGGCTGAGGGCTAATCCTACCTTTGTTCAGACCTTGCTGCAGGGAATTCCAAAATATCCTATGTTGAATGGATTTCTGCTTGCAGTATTTGTTTTGCCTATGAATAGAGCTACCTAGATACTTGGCTTCTTTCAATAAACTCTGTAATCTCTTTAAGTGCTAACATCTGCTGTGGGCTATTAAGAAAGATGGGGGCTGTTTTCTGTCTCCAAGAGCATGTTTCTCCATTCCTCCTTTAGGGAAATATAATATTCTGCCTTTTTAAATATTTCCTAAAATATTTCATTCTTCTAGGAGAGGGGTGGGTGCTAACTTTCTACACACCCTAAATAAATAAATGGTATGATAATTTGGGCCTCATCCTTTCTGCTTTGATTATTTAAACCCAATGCTTGAAGCTTTTTTGTTTTCTGAATGGAAAAAAAAACCCAACACAAACTCACTCATGTTTTCAACATAATTTAATAAGAAGCTTCTGGTTTAAAAGGTAACCACAGCAAAGACATAAAAGAGCTGGTGGCAGTTGTTATGAAACTTGCTCTTACTCAAACCAGTCCCCAGAAGTTACACTTGTAGACTTAACTGAGTTGGAAATGTTATTGCTCAATTTGATGTATGGAATATAGAGTTGTTTTCTTTGTGGGACCTTCTCATTTTAGCAGCAAGGAAGAATCACAAGGAGCACTGAGGGATGGGGGTGCGTGAATACGGAACTCCAATTGAGATTCTTGTCATTTAAAAAAAAACAGATCCAGCCAAGTAATTTTGGTCTCTGTTTGGCATAATTTGTAAGAGTAATGGTATAATAAATTAGGGGTAAAAAAAGAGATGGGTATGTCTTTAAGAGTACTCCAATAAAGTTATATGGATGGGTGGATTTTGCAAAAATGGACCTTAGGCCTCAAGCTGTCTAGCTTAGATTGCTCAAGTTGGCAATGAATACTAGGTAGCTCAGATCACTTTCTGAAACATTCTATTTCAGCTACTAAGAATGACAAATGGTAAACACAGATTAAGTCTTCCTCAATCAAATATCCTCCAAATGGGTTGGTCCCAGAATTCTCATACATCATTGAATTGAAACCAGCAATTTTTGGGATGACAATTGGAAGAGGACACCAGGTTGGTGTAAGGGCGATGCATTGTACTTGCCTAGTCAGATGCAAAATGCTGCTAAAGTTTTCAATAACTTCTTTTGCTTAAGTGACAACGTTCCTAAACGTTGGTGACTCTTTATTTGGACAATTGTTCATTATTACAGTGCTGATGGCATTGCTGCTTGCCTGTTGTTTCTGCTCTCTAGTCCCATTACCCCACCCCACAAGAGTTTTGAAGCTGACTCATAATCATGTTCATTTCATTAACCTTAAAACACACAGCGAATGGTATTCCTGCTGAACATCTGGGGGCTGGGAAAGGAAGAAGGTGGGACATGAAATTAATCCAGAGTTATCCCCAATACTGGAACACCAATGAAAAGAACAGTTTTTGATGCAATGTGGAGATATTGCAGCTGAACCAGCAAAACATCAACTTGGTTCTTAAGATACCTGAGGTCATGAGACTGGATAAGTCCAGAGATGGTTCTGGAGTATCACAAATACCTTGTGTGGAATGCCATATATTAATTGGCATGATGCTGAGCAAACATATGGAAACCTCTATCTTAGGTATTCAATAGAGTTCCACTGGGTGCCAACACAAAAAGCACTGAAGTTATAAAAGTGCTGGTGGTTGGTATGAGGTGAGCCCTCCCTTTTACAGCACCAATTTTGAGCTCTATATTACAAAATTAGGTCAATGACAATGGAAGGTAAAGGGTGGGCAAATCTTTATATTAACAGAAGTGCCTTGCTTGGATCTTCCATTGGAAGAAAATGTCCATAGATTCAGACATACTGAATGTCACTCAGCAGCCACATATTTGCTTGATTGTATTTGTTTTCTATCTTTGAGACAAGTTCTTATAGGTCTCTCCAGCATCTTAATTTTATTATTTTCCTTCAAGTGGAGAACTTCATTTTTTAAAGTATATATCATTCCATTAAATCATTTTTTTGAGGCAAAAGGAAAGAGTACTGGAGAGTACTTGAGGCTGGGTGGCAATACGTAGGGATAAACATCTATTGTTAAAATTACTTGCATATTTCATTAGCTGACCTTAGCTGATCACAAAAATCAGTACAGATTTTATATGTAGATGGAAGCCAGGAAAGTCCAAGACTATAGAAGACATGAGCAAGTAACGTCAAGAAATCTAGATGGATGCGTCCATGAAGTAACTAGAAGTTGAGCTCAATTTGAGATGTTTTTGGATGACTCAATTTTGAATCAGTCTCCTGGTGACTGCCTCGGTAAGTCCCTGCAGTTTTCTTGGCAAGATTTCAGAAGCGGTTTGCCCTTCCTTACGAGGGTTGAGACTGTGTGACTGGCCCAAGGTGACCCAGCTGGCTTTGTACTAAGGCAGGACTAGAACTCATGGTCTCCTGGTTTCTAACCCAAGAGCTGCTACATCAAACTGTCTCTCTTTTATAGATTAGGTTACGACATTTTCTGGTTGTAATAATTGATTATAAATTAATCATTTGATCTGTAGAAGTTGGAGTAATGTTAGGCTTGCAAAAATCCTAACTAAATAAGGTAATGAAAGAATCCTAATTAACCCCTTTGTGAGCTTAGCCAAAAATGGAGGGAGTGCAACTTTGATGCTCAGAATTCATGCAGAGCGGATTTGAATGTCCATCTCGGAGATAATGTGTCAATGTTGGAGTCTGAACTTATGACTCTGTATATTAGCCCCTTTTTAAAGGGGGAAGAAACAAGATCCTCTGACATAGATCTTCTGACATAGATGATCACCAACTCCTCCCACCGTGTCTTATTACAGAAAAGCCACCAAACAGTATGAAGTTGAAAGGTGCCAGCAAACACTCTCTTCAGAAAGTTTGGAAGCACCAATTACGTTGAATACTAATGACAGAGCATGCTTAACCTGAAAGGTTCATCTGGTTGTACATATAGCCAGCACTGCTATCACCATCATCTCTCTAGGCCAGATAGTGAGATAGAGTTGAATGTGGATGACAAACATGAGCTTATTTCTGATGGAATGTATCATTAAGAAAGGTATCAATTATTTCTCCCATCCAGCTTGCATATGCCTATCCAGAAAGCCCGTTTCCGAGAAGTCAGTGACTTCTGATGACTTTCAAGAGTAACATAGACTAACTGAGCTTGTAACTCATAACTTCATGTATGCATAATGATAGCAATACGTTCTGAGCTCCTGGCTTCCAGTAATTTTGGGTAGCCTCTCTGACAGATGACTTTGCATGGTTGTGTGTTTATAGCCAACTGCTCTCACGGATCAATGCATTGTGACTACAGTAGCATCAACTGGCATATACAGTCAAAATTCTGAAGTTATGGAATGGTTGAAAGGGGAGGGGGAAAGGAAATGGAGAGTTTGATGTCAGTTTTCCACTTCTCAAAAACCTGGCCTCTGCAGAATACTCAGCTATTCCTTGGACTGGCCAGTTAAACTCTCCGAGTATCTATGGGAGCTAATAAGGAAGAGAGAACTGAAATAAAAATAAAATGAGGTAGGTTAAAAATAGCAAAACAGATCCAATTATGTTATATCCAGAAACCAGGGAGGAGAATCCAGGCTTGGAGACAGTGGAAATAACTAATTTAAAAATACAAATAATTTGAACAAAGCATATAAAGACAGAGATAAATTCAAATGAAAAACATACATCCTTCTGCACATTTGTTGGTCATTATACAGATGGGTACACGGGGGAAGGGCAGAAAGATGAAATCTAAATGTCAGATAACCGATCAATGAAACCCTCCTTTAATCCGCTCTCCTTCTCCTGCACGTCTTCGTACCGAGAGGTGAATATTTTATTAAGATTTTCCATTATTGAGAAGAGGACACCATTAGATTAAAAAATACTGATCTGTATTTGGGACTTCCATCTTGGAAATATCGGAATGATGTCGTCTCTTTGTAATTTTTAGTGGAAGAAATAAAACACACCAGTATCTACAAGGAATCATGCCCCCTTATCCCCCGAAGTAAAGTACAACTGTACAGAATAGGTATGATTTGGATTCAAACACATCCGAGTTAAGATGCCTTACGTATCAAGCTGCTAGGGGCATTCTTTAGCCAATCTTTGGAATCTTACAACCCATTTCAATTAGCTTCCCATTTAGAGATACCTTCGTGTTACAGCTTGGAGAAAGGCAACAAGTGGGAATGACTAACAAGAATGGCACTGCTGTTTTTTTTTTTTTTTTAATCAATGAGCACCATTATGCAAAGATCTATAAAGAAGAGCATTGATCAGCCAGATGTATTCAGCTTGTGACCTCGCTGGCTGGGAATCTGGGGAGGTGGCCTCTCATCCCATCTGGAGATGGCCAGGCTGGGGAAGAAGTAGTATGAACTGAAAGATTGACAAAAAGTTAACTCTTATCACGATCATCTTATACTCTCCAAAGCTAGGAGTCTAGCCATTTAGATTTCCCAAAGGAATGGGACAAAAATCTCATGTATACTCTTATCTGAAATATCTTTGACCGGTTTGCAAACAATAAAAATAAAATAAAACAAAAACAACCACAACAAAATAATCCTCACACAAATGTCCATAAAAGGAAAAAGAGTTTACAAAAAGTGGCCACTCTATGGTTAGGGCCTCTCACACAAAGATTAAAAATGGTACATTTATTGTGCTCTCTTGCATCAGTTTTAAATGATAACTTCTTAACAGCAGTTCTCAGCCTAACCTCCACACAGATGTGTTTGATTACAACTCCCATCATTCCAAACCAACATACCCATTTGGCTCACTAGCCATGATCATGGGAGCTCTAGTCCACCACACCTAAAAGACACCAGGTCAGGGGAATCTGCCTTACATCGTACTATATAATCGGTGCTAATAGGCAGACATTATTAAAACAGATATTCTGTTTTAACTTTAAGACCTGTCTCTATTCATACAAACTCAGGATCAAGGAAAAAAAAATAATTATTATTTTTAAAAACCCTAGAGCCGATTCTATCACAGCTTAGTTTGAACACCTCGGAGAGGTTTATTCAGCTAAACCTCTTCAGCGTTGGTCCTTTCCTGCTCAAACAGTGTTGCATTCTTGGGATCTTGAAGAAACCTGCATTCCGAAATCACTGTGGGAAAAGTATGTCATGTTCTCAGAATGTGGCTCCATGAGCAGACTGTGATCACCGAAGAAAGCTACAGGATCCACAATATCTTCTCCTTCGCTTGCTCTGACAGTGTAACTCTGCAAATTCAGATGTCCTTCAAAATTTAACACATCTTGGCATCAAAATCAGCACCACATGCCCTTTCATTACCAGTTCATCATGGAATTTCTGTTCAGGGTCATGAAAAATACTTGGCTACTTCCCCCTGATCTTACCGATGCAAAAAATACCTGTTTGGAAAGAAAGTATTCTGATTAAATATAAATGGGGAAAAAAAGTGTCTTCCTCTCTCCCACACATTTCTGTATTTAATCAGAAGGATCTAGAGACTTAATTAAACATGTCTGTTTAGTTTCTCCATTTGATCATTCATTTAAACAACCATGTCTACTATTTTTATCTTTAAAAACTCAGAATGTTTTTAAAACCATTCTCCGTGTCTTTGGACCACACTCCCAGAATTCTCACACAATATGGGAACCAAACAGGGATGAGATGCTCCTGGTTCGGACCGGATAGCCTGATCCAATAGCGATGGCGGCATGTGGTTCAAAGAACCGGTAGCAAAAATCCCTGTGCTGCCCCCTCCCCCCCATGACCAGCTGAGCCGTTCAATCATCAGAGGCTTTTTAAAAAAAACTTTTAAAAGCATTTTTTCTACCACCTCTTCGGCCGAAAAAATGCTTTTAAAATTTTTTTTAAAAAAGCCTCTGATGATCGTGCGGCTCAGCTGGGATCGTCAGAGGCTTTTAAAAGCATTTTTTCTACAACCTCTTCGGCTGAGGAGGTTGTAGAAAAAATGCTTTTAAAAGAAAAAAAAAAGTTGGCCACGCCCACTCAGTCACATTACCCCACCACCAAGCCACGCGCACAGAACCAGCAGTAACAAATTTTACATTTACACCACTGGCACCAAGCTGAATGCGAATTATCAGATGACTGCAAAGAACATAAATCCTTCTATTCCCTACCATTCAGTCAGAACTGAAGAAGCTTCTTGGATGAGAAGCTAAATTTTTTCAAGGGAAAAAAAATCCCAGGAAAGTCTTTTGGAAAAGCACCTTTGGGACAACCATGGCCTGGATGATTTAAAAGCTCTATAGATATCAGGGAAATCAATGCAAAATCTATAATTATATCAATTACTTTATTGATTAGGGATGTTTTGTAAATTGGGTTTGGGGTAGAAGAAGATGATTGCAAGGATTTTCGCCTTCTTTAGAAGGGTTGGGTTTTGGGGTGTTTATTTAAAAAAAAACTTTTCCCCCCTCTTGTTAATACTTTATTGAACAGAGAATGTGATAAAATAATGGAAGTCCTTTGGATTCTTTTAATGACTAGGATTATACAAGTTTACTTAGAGTGTGAGAACTATCAGTAGGATTTAAATACATTTATGCTGTGAAAATAAACTCTTGATGTTTTACTTTTCAAATTTGGAAATTATTTGTAAGTCCACATTGCATGAAAAATGTGACCTCTTATGAATGAGGACATGTTTTCAGAATGTTCTGTGATACATGGAAGAAATATTTCTTTGTGTGGAATGGTACTCAGATGTTTCATATATATTCTTTTTATTAAAAAGAAAAAAAAGCTTTGCTGCTGTTTTTTAAGCAAAATAAGCTTTTCAGATGTGTCTGTTTAGCAACCATGCAACACTGAAACACAGATTACAGAATTTTAGATTCTGAATTGACTCACACCTGGAAGCAGGGGATGGTCCTATATTTTTACAGCCTACCTTCCAGATAAACCAGCCTATTTTAAAGAACATTTAAGGGATGTAAGATCTTCAGAACATAGAATTCCCCACCAAGCATGGCTCTTTGTTGAGAATTCTAAATGTGAAATCTACACATTTGGAGAAGTTCAGAACAAACAAGTGTGCAGTTTTGGGGAGAAGGACGTGGATCTTCTGGCTCCTCCAGATGTTAGTAGAGAACATATGTTTCTAAACTAATATTCCCATAATCAGGTAGAACTAATGAGTTAAAACATTTGGGGGCTGGAGGCTATCCATGCTGATTCGAGAAAAATCACCCCAAGCAGTTAATGGTCCTGAAAATAGACTTACCTTATCATTTCTTTCACATAGAAACTTTAACCGCTGGGCACGCTTGTGCATAAATACTCCATCCAAATGTCCCGTCTCCACGGATCGTATCTCAATAGCTTTCTCACCCCAGCCCATTATTTGATTGGAGTGAATATAGGCTTGTCATATAACAAACAAACAGACAATCCATAAACATTCAGTAATATCTTCTGATTAAAAACAGCTGGAAAATAGCTTCCCTAGCAGGTATTATTATTCACAATGGAAATGTCATAGGGTCGAAGTTCAAGACATCAATCAGCATCCTGGTTCCATCATTAAAATATAGAAAAATAGATAATTTTAGCTTTGTTGTTGTTCAATTGCTAAGATATGTCCGACTCTTCACTATCCCATAGACCCTAGTACTCCAGGACCCCTGTCCTCCACTGCCCAAACTCATGCCTGCTACACTGAAGACCCAATTTAACCATCTCATCGTCTGCCATGTCTTTCTCCTTTTGCTTTCAATCTTTCCCAACATCAGGGTCTTTTCCTATGAGTCCTCTCTTCTCATTTGGTGGCCAAAGCACATGAGCTTCAGTTTCAGTATCTGTCCTTCCAAAGGACAGCCAGGATTGAGTGACTGATTTGATCTCCTTGCAGTCCAAGGGACTCTTAAGAGTGTTGTCCAACACCACAATTCGACACCATAATTGTTGCTTATCTCACTCTAACTATATCAATCTATGTCATCACCATCTTTATCTTTAAAGAGAAGAAGAAGGAGTAGGAGTAGGAGTAGGAGTAGGAGGAGAAGAAGAAGAAGAAAAAGAGAAAGAAAAGTAGTAGTAGTAGTAGTAGTAGTAGTAGTAGTAGTAGTAGTGACATACCCACTGAAGTGGGCATTTCTCCCCACTGGAGCACCACATCTTTTGTTATGCGTCCATAGGTATTAACGTATACTCCTTCATCCTCATAGCACACAAGCATTTCCATTCCATCTGTCTTGGGTAAGATGACGATGGCATGAGGTGTAATATTGCCCTGAATCTGTGGATAGAACAGAACATCCCCCAAACCAGCATTAAGTCACATTTTCAGGGTAAGAAGAGCCAACCTGCTTTGGTATAGGTCACTATAAGCAGAGCAATCATCAGCCTAGTGAAATTATATGTGCTTCCAGGATTACGGACTGCACATTGGCTATGTCTTTTGACAAGCTTGCCAGAGTTATGCTATAGTCTACCCATAAGACAGAAGGTTTATCAAAACTTGGCTGACAAAGTATAAGAGCTCTGGGAATAACGGGAAGCTTCTTACAGCTCAGGCTCAAATTAAGCTCTGTTTAATATCTGAGACACATACTTGGATATATTCATGTTTAAATCCATTAATATGAGCAGGGATATTCTAGCTTAAGTGGTTCCGCTTAATTGCATTTTATGTTTGATATGCTTTTCTGCTAGTTTGCAAAGACATATTCATTGCTGTTTGTGGGCAAAAATATTCTTTAACTAATAAAACAAAATTAAATATCCAATTGAGTTAAAAATGGAAGCAACACTGAACAGAAGCATTCAACGTTAGAAATTACATAGCTATAAATGGAAACAGGACTAAGAGTTTTCTGCAGCAGGATATTCCAAAGCTTATAGCTATCATAAAGACCCTCCAGAGGTTTCTACAGCTGAATTATTTCTTTTGATGACAGAATCGGAAACAAAGACTTTCCAATCGTTAATAATTATAGCTAAATGGCATCAGATTATTATGGTTTCCTGCCCATCCCATTCACAAAAGTAACCATAGAGCAGCCTCAGACTTACATGAGATGGTATGTAGATATCGTAAGAATTGCCTGAATCTACATCAATAACATGAAAGCCAGTATGTGACCCAAAGATGACTTTCAACCTCTGTCCTTCTTCTACTGTGAGGTCAACAAGCAACGGTTTGTGCTGAAGATCTGCAAAAGACTTTTTAAAATCCCCTCAATGAATTTTTTTGAGTGAGATGCAAAGTAATTAAATAAATATCCTAATAATTAGGATTCAGTGGCAACAAAGTGACAGTCTGACATTCTCCTTTTAAAAATGTGCTCCTCTATGTCTCCTAGTTTACAGTCTCTGCAGATTTAGACAAAATTAAGCTTTTTAAAATATATTGATCTATTACGAGAAGGTCTAAAGTTCCATAGGAAAGTTCCACGGGAATTTTGCCTCTTTATTTTTAAGGATTTTTTGAGAGTGAGCCCATTTCACATGTTGCATGAACAAGAATTTCTTAAACCCATTAAGAAAACTGTGGTTTCCAAGGGCCACCAGGCTGATTTATTCATTATGTTCTGATACATAGGCTGGAGAAGACATTTGCATTCTGTCCCCATTCCTGCTGTAACAATTCTATAGCTTTCGTTACACTTAAAAACTGAACAGAAGGAGGATTTTAGGATTAAAGGCAGGGGTGAAATTCAGCCAGTTCTATCCAGCTTGGGCGAACCAGTAGCGGTGGCTCCAGGAGGCACGGACGTCATGACATCCCTTTTTTTCTGACGATTTCAGCCTCTGCACATGCGCAGAAGGCTTTGCAAACCAGTAGGGAAGGTAAGTGAATTTCACCCCTGATTAAAGGGATATCTAGACCTAAATAGGAAACCATTTTGGGTTCTGATTTAATCCAAGGTGCAGAAAACCTTGAGCGTTGCATTGTTACTTCTTCTTTGAAATGAGCATTTCAAACCCCTCACATTCAGATCTTGGACTAACTTCTAGGCTGTGCACTTTCATTACTTATTTGCTTTTAAATTCCTTAGTGAAGAGGAACAAAATTGTTACAAAAAGTCAGAAAGGGGAAATAACCTAGAAAAAAACCGGTTCAATTTTATCAAATTGTTCCAAATACTCATTAGGCCTCTTTGGGATGTACACAGATTGGGGTAGAGTAGCTTGGGTCACCGTCCTACCTCTTGTCCTAAGATGGAAGGAGCAATCACTTAAATGTGAAATCCATTGGCTAACTACGTGGACTGCGATCTTTGTAAAATCCAGGACATTACTGCAGTGTTGAATCTTACAGACATTTCAGATATATATGCAGCCCTACCAAACATGGTATCCAGTCAGAGCACAATGAGTAATTTAATAATGGCACAGTCAGATTTGGTTGCTAAGAACTTCAGTGGATAAGAAAAGCAGCTTTAATGATGTGGTATTAATTTTTTTTTGCCAAGGGCATGAGTTGAAGTCATTATTTGCTATAGGTAGATAAACACCAGTAATGAATGACAGATATTTTTATCTGCAAAAAACATTAATAAATGTATGAGTAGTGATATTTTTTGGTAACATAAAACACAAAACATACCTTAAATGCCATAAACTTGTGATAAGGTTTAGGAGCCCAAGCATATATCTCTACAGCATTCTTTAAGGCAATCACCAAGAACTTGATTCTCTCATATTTCACTAAAATTGAAATAAAGCTAAAATTTTTAAACATCCTATTTACATAAACTGAAATACAAAATTGAATCATTTTCTAAAGGCGACCATTTTAATTTTCTTGTCTATTTGTCACTCATATGGTTGCCATTTCTTAAGCAAATTAAAGGTGGCAACATATTTTGGGCCTTTATCGTAATTAGAGAACTCCAATTAATACAAATGCAGGCATTTGAAGAAAGGCATGCAGTATCTGGAAGAAAACTGGATTTAAGTTGAGAAAAGTAATTTCACATGTAATACTATCTTTAATAAGACGGTCCTCTTCTTATAAACTTTTAAGTTACTTTCACCAATACGAACAAACCTGTTGAAAACCCCAATCTAGAAGGTCCGGGAAAGTGGGAAAATATGGGAAAGGGTTAATTTATAATGTGCTGCATACATATCTTGCACATTAGGGGGCTGAATGTATGCCATTTTGAATTCTACCCCATTCGGTCATCCACTGCCAATAGATATTGAGGCATACCTGACAATTATCTAAGGTATGAACTGCATTGTGCATGTTTTTATATTTAGCTGGACTTACAAACAAAATGGACTTACAATCAGATTCTTGGAAGATAACCTCTTTGTAAGTGGAGGACTATCTACATTCATTCAGTGAGTAATATATGATTTAAGGTTAGAACATGGTGAGCAGAAAATACTGTTTACGATAATGAAAGTAATTGATTTAAAATCGTAACTTCCGTAGATTTCGCCAAAGCAAAGTAAGTCTACTGAAATCAACCAGTTCCCCCCACCCCCCAAAAAACCTTGATGTGCAATGCTTTCAACTACTTGACAAGAACAAAAAAATCCATTTGTTGATTAACGTTTTAGGGAAATTTGGGAATTAAGACCATGCCTGCCTATTTCATTCACGGTCCAATTTTACATACAAGAATTGAAAACGACACTGAAACACAAACCAATCCATAACAAGTCCAACGTGTGCATATTCAACCCCTGTAATAGTAGGTCCTGTGAATCAGGTAGAAGATAATTTATGAAGTGTAGTACACCACCATCCATCTTGTTGCAGAAAACTACTTCTGAAATTGCGGCATTAGCCACATCAAGGCTTCTATGGAAGATTTAGGGATTGTTATCCCTAGAACATAGTTTGCTACACAGGACTTGCATGGGTCTTATGTGATAGGAATACTGATTTTATGAATTTACTTGCTCTGCGTGCAAGAGAGCTTCCACCAGTATTTGTGTAATTGTTTTATACTTACCAACTTTATAATGGATGCAGCCTTCCAAATCACCTACAGTAATCCAACCTTGTTTCTTTTCTACCTCTGGATCATTGTGCAATATTCTGTTTCTTAACCATGAAAGGTAGTAAACTCGAAGCTTATTCTTTTTTCCTGTTGAGACATGTAGCTCATTTTTTCTACCATAGATAGATAGATAGATAGATAGATAGATAGATAGATAGATAGATAGATTCCACCAACTATAGACAATATGTTTAATTCATTTGCTTTTTCCTGTTTCATTATTCTGTTCAAGCAAGTTAATTTGGGGGATATTAACTGTTTTTTAAAAAAATCCACAGTACACATATGCAACACGAGGGATGCTTCTCATTTCATTCTTTATTTATTTTCTACTCTCTATCTATCTCACGCAAGTGGACAAATCCTTTTGGAACATTACAATATGCTTGTGCTAGTCTTCCTGAATACTAAAATATTTTTATCACCATGTATTAAAAATTGTCACTGCTGGCTTTTCTACTACAGACACAGCCAAACTGATGCCCTCCAGTTATTAAACACATCAACATGCTTCTGATTTCTGGGGATCATGTGGTGAGGTCCTCCAGGAGAGATATGGCAAACTGAAGATGTCTGTGAAAGTGGAGCTGATGATCATGGCAAAGACCAAGGAACTGACGGGGTTGACAAGTTCCTTAGAATCTCTCCAGTTAAACAGAGGATAGGAGATCCTTCTTTTCCTTCTTGTGCCATATCTGTCATCGGACTTTGGCGATTATGTTGGCGATCCTATTTTTATCAACAGCTGCATGAAAAAGTACTGCTGAGTTTTGTCCAAATGAGTCCCTTAGGTTTTGAAGCCATGATCTTCTTCTGCCTGGATCTCATTTGCCTTCAATCTTTCCTTGGAGGATTAAATGAAGTATGCTGTATTTTTCTGGACGTCGCAACACATGTCCAAAATATTCTAACTTTAGCTTTTTTATGGTTTTGATTATTTCTCTTGACTTTCCCAGGCTGCATATCACCTCCTCATTTCTGATTTTGCCAACCCAACTTATACGTAATAGCCACCTGTAAATCCACATTTCAAATGCTTCTTGTCTCTTCAAGTGGCTTTCTGTCAGAGACCAACTCTCCATTCCGGAGAGCAGGATAGAAAAGATGTAGCATCTGACAAGCCTGATTTTCAATCTTAGGCTTATGTCGTGATTGCAGAAGACCTTTTTCATTTTGAAGAATGCTGTTCGAGCTTTCTCTATCCTTGTCTTTACTTCAGTGATCATGTTCCAGCGTTCATGTAAATTAGAACCGAGGTACGTGATCCTTTCAACTTTTTCTATTGGTATTCCTTTCGAAGTTATCGGTGGTAAATTAATGGGTTGTATGCTGACGACCATGATCTTGATTTTTGAGGTGTTAAGCTTCAAGCTGTATTCCAGATGGCTACTTTACACACAATCAGAGAAGGACAATTGTTTTCCATGACTGTGAGCACTGACAAGCCAAAGGGATTAATCCTCTTGCTTGCAACTAAGTGGAGACTTTTAAGACACTAACTGCACTTTCTCTTTACTTTTGGAAATTGCCTATTAACCATATTAAATTTATTAGTGATCTTTGGAATGAGAAGTTTGAAAAACCTTCATTGGGCCAGTTTATCTTCAACTCTGAACAAACAGAAAATTAATTATAAGCTTAAGAACTTAAAGAATTTGAAATAAACAGAAAAAAGCTAAACATAATATTGATCTAAGAAAGTTATAATATGGATTAAGGATCCAGATAAATTTGAAATACTGATTGTCACTGTAAGATTTTGGAATTAATTATAAAAAATAAATAGCTTATCCTTGGAAATAGATTAATTTTAGTTAGCCTGACTATTGTAAGTCATAACAAAGATAAGTTACTTTATAATTTTGGAAACCAGACACAAGAGGGGACTAAAGAATCTAAACAGAAGGGAAAAAAAATAGAAGCCTGTTCTTGATTTCAGTTAAAACTGGACATACAGAATTTCAAAGATTAAAAAAAATTATATCAGAAATATTAAAGGAGATCTTTGAAGAATGGAGCCAGAATTTAGTGAAATCTATCTCAACGTTAGTGAAGACTATATTTCCTCTTCCCTTTATGTTTAGTTTATATTAGTTTTTATATCGTAATCAGAATTCTTAATACAAATTATATTTTAAAAAACCCATTCTTCTGATTCAGCTAGCATGGTCAATGGCCATGGATCCTGATAGCACCATTTGCCTATCGCTGCTGTAGTGAACAGAAATTACAGAAAATTATATATTGCTTTGTGATTATGAATATATAATCAATTTTATGACTACTTAAAGTTAGCAAGAGAGGGAGCAAGGAGAATTTTCAGTGTAATACACAAAGCCCAAATGGGTTAGTAGTCTAAGATCTCCTTTACTAGAATATTCTATAATCCCATTTTGGCAACCCAGAAGGGTACCCTGATAAAAGTACTAAAGAAACAAGACATATTGGGAGCAGAATCTTTCATAACTCTGGAGAGAGCTTAGAGAAGAGACAATCTGATCTGGGTGAGTGCTGAGGCCAAGCAATCCACTAGTAACACCTTAAACTTAAGGGCTCCATTAGAAGGTGATTTGACCAAACTGAATCTTCTAAATCAGCAAATATATTTGAACAGGTCCCTCTGAACTGATCCAGGGTTCAACATATCTGTGTGTCAGCATATGCTATTTTTGAACATAAATGAGGTGGCTCATGCATTCATGTGAGCCAGCTGCAATGATTTAACACATGGTGTGAATATATCTTGCCCGTTTTCTTCTTAATGAAATAAAAAATCTACTATTTGTTTGTTTCTGTAGCTTACGGGATACTGTACATCTACTGCTTCCATCTGACAATGGCTTGATTTTCCCAATTCATCTTCTGGACATAGAACAGACTGAAGGATACACAGGATGGTCGTGGTGAAACTGCCATCCTGTTCTTGTTTGAATGAAAGGGCAATTAGAGTCTAAACCTATGCTAGTCATCGCTAACACAAAATGACCAGTTCCAATCTGACTGGCTTATTTCATTGAAACCTGCACAATATACCTTGGCTTTCACTACAGATGGAATTACTGTAGACACCAGGAGCATAATGGAAGCATGATGTGGTCTTGTGATTATACCTGAGATAGTTACTAGGACGTTGAGGCCTTCTAAAACATCCATTTGTTGGAACCGTCTCCTATTGATCAGATTGTACACTTTTCCTTGTCCACTCCGATCCAACAGCATAAGCCCATTCTCGGTTCCCACCAGCAGGTTTACACCTACATTACGGAAAAAAGGAGATGAAACAAAAATTGGGGTCATCAATGACAAAATAAGGGGATCAAAGTACAGCTGCAACACTACAGTTAACTAGCGAATCGATTTTTTTTTTTTTAAGGATGAAAGTAATATTTAGGAAACATTTTTTTCAATTGTTTTTGTAAAATCCATGACCTTATATGGAACAGCTCATTGTCCCATGAGGCAAAATGGGGGAAGAATGTCTCTTCAAGATAGTTTTTGCAATCTGGAGTTTTATATGAATGGTATTAAAAAAATAGTATAATCAGAAACATCTGTTTCCATTTTAAGCAGGGGCAACTTATTCATTTGAACCGAGGGTCTCATTATTGGCTATATACTTCATTTGCTTAGGGAGAGAAATTAGGAAAGCTTTGGTCCTCCAGTCCTCCTTGATTTCCGTCAATTTGGCCTATGATCACGAATGAAAGAAAGTCATATAAGAATATCTGAAGGGCAAGACATGCAGCTTCCCTTCCCTGAGTTAGGAATCCTTTCTAAGAGATTTATTGATTGTATGTGTGCCTTTAATTCAGTTTTGATGCCATTGACACCACTGTTCAAGGGCTAAAGGATCAAGATATATGGCCACAGGTTTAGCCACTCTGGTAATTATTTTAATTTTATTCGTAATTTCATTCATCCTTTGTGGATTTTTCTACACTTGAAATCTAATATTTTCACCTTCTAGATGCACTTCCTGAATGGACCTGAGCTTTATTGGAAAAGCACAGAAGAATTTGAGTTCTAATGATGTTATTGAAAGAAATGATGGATTCCTGATTTTCCCATAAAAATCATGGAGGATGAAACATATGAGATACTACCCATTATGTAGTTGAGAAGGAAGCAAAGTTATAAGCAAAAGAAGTCAAACAAAAGCACTGTCATATGAACTGTGTGGTAAAGGTATATATGTGTGGCAGGGCGTGTGTAGGATGGAGGTACTTAGGTTCTCCTGCTATATGCAAACTACGTCAGGAAAAAAAATGCATGCATACAGAGATCTTCCCTTTGAAGATACAAAGAGCTGGTTAAACTAAGTTGCTACAGCATATGCACATTTGTTACCCTAGATGGGGATTTTCAGTGACTGGGAGCCAGACTAACTTGATAGCAGGCTAAGCAAGAAGTTGGTTTAGAAACCACCTTCATGTAACTTGCTAACCAAAGGCAAGTCAGCTTCTTCAGGATGAGAATGCCTGAATTCCTCTTACATCTAACTGCATTCTCTCATACTGAATTTACTACTTCAAGCTGCCATCCTCTCTTCTGATAGAGAATATTTATAGCTCAGGGTTGAAATGAGAGGTCCACGGTGCTCTCTGAGCTTGGTTATTTTCTTGCAGATATTTCATTACCCAAACTAGATAACATCATCAATGCAGCTTGAGTAATGAAACATCTGCAAGAAAACACCCAAGCTCAGAGAGCACCAACATCCCCTCATCCTCTTTTCTTTCTAATATTTTCTTCTTAACCTGATGACTATTATTTCCACATTAAAATCTCTATGGGGGCAAATATTTATACAATCATTGCCGTAGAAAGAGGCTAGGATTTTGAACAGACCGCTGTATTGAACTATTTTCATTTCCTATTCAGAGCCAAGGAATTATAATTATTGCAGCTCTTGCCAATTTTAGGAAATTCTACTTTAATGTAAATTACATTAAATATATGGCCTACAAATATTCCAACTGCAATAGCAGTAAAACCATAAAAACAGCCTTTGCTTAGGCTTGAGGGACACAGATGGTCATGGCCTGCCTAACGACTTAACATTTGCATGTTCATTTCCACATATCCAGTCAGAACTGCAATAAAAACACTGGGCTAAATTCTATTATCTTCTGAACAGAAGTATTTTTTCTTCTCCCCTCTCTTTTAATCATGCAGACTTCATTTCTACTATTTACATGAATAATGAAATGTATACCCCATAAAGCAGCACACAGGATTTCTGAATTGAAGCGTTTCTTGTACTTTCGAATCTCTGGGGTATCACTATGAGGACGGATGTTGGTAGGATTCACATTTACTACAGAAATTTTTCTTGCTTCATTAAGCTTGGCCTGTTCTTGCCTCAGCAGCTCACTGGTAAATAATGCTGAAAAGGGGGGAAAAAAAAACACCACAGTAGCAGCTTTGTTAAATATGTAACTGAGGGATTTCATCAGATTTTAATTGCACCATTCTGGAATGGAACAAGCCTAGGGTTGCATAGCATTCAATACGGTACCTGGATGTCTTGTTGTCCTAATTATCTAAAGAGGTAAAGGTAAAGTTCCCCTCACACATATATGCTAGTCGTTCCCAACTCTAGGGGGCAGTGCTCATCTCCGTTACAAAGCTTAAGAGCCAGTGCTGTCCGAAGACATCTCCGTGGTCATGTGGCCGGCATGACTAAACGCCAAAGATGCACGGAACGCTGTTACCTTCCCACCAAAGGTGGTCCCTATTTTTCTACTTGCATTTTTTTACGTGCTTTTGAACTGCTAAATTGGCAGAAGCTGGGACAAGTAACGGGAGCTCACTCTGTTACGCGGCACTAGTGAGTTGAACCGCTGAACTGCCAACCTTTCAATCGACAAGTTCAGTGTCTTAGCCACTGAGCCACCGCGTCCCACTAATTATCTATATTTTAATAAGTATCTACACTTTAATAAATTCTCTTTAACTAAAAAAATGGGAAAGCTGGTATGCTACAAACCAAAGACCAACGCTAACCCAAATGTGCCTATCTGGTCATGTTTGCTAAGGCAGTTATTTTCTGAAGCTCTGAAGATTTCCTTTCTTTCCCTTGGTCCCTGACAATTGTTATGATGCTTCAATCAGGAAGTGACTCTAGGCATCTTACACAAGAAGATTAAGTCATCAAATAACAATAATAATGAAAAATAACAAAAAAACAGAACCAGCAGAAGAATATACTACAGACATTATGGAGGCTAAGCCATTTCCCATCAATTACCATCAGGGATCTGATCATTCCACTCCACTCCAAGGTCTATTGAAAGAAACAGTTTTTATGGCTTTATAGAAGCCCAATAGGACTGGAGCTATATGGACACCAAGGGGCGTTTTATTCCACAGAGAAGTTGCAGCTACCAAGAAGATGCGTCTTATGGCTCCCATAAAATGATCTTTTTAGTTGAGATTCAAAGTGTGCCAACTGAGATAAAAACAGGCAGAATGAAAATCCTGTAGGTCAGTTGTCCCAAACCTTTTCAGTTTGGTGGCCTGGCCCAGCCCGGGGCAGGGAGGGTTATGTGAGTGGCAGGTGCATGCGCACGGCTCCATTTGTGCAAGCGGCATCCACGCACACCCTCCACTCATATGAATGGAACTTCATGTGCAAGAAGGTGCTTATGCTCGTGCGCAAAGCTCAGCCTTCCATCCTTCCTAGGCTGGTAAATAATTCTTTACCTATAGCTGATGTTAATATATAGAACCCTTATTTTATTTTCATGACCCAACGAATTTTAAAATGTCACTTATAACTTAATGTACAACTTCCTGAATTTCTTATACCTTACAAAACTGACCACATATCTCCATTTTAAGTGTAACATATCACTCAGCAGGAACTGGGTATGCCTAGTCTAGTGAAAAGAAAGACATGATACCAGGGGTGACATGATACCAGTCTTTCAATATCTGAAGGACTGCCAGTAGGAAGAGCGGTCCAATTTATTTACCAAAGTATCTGTAGTCAGGACAAGAAACAGTGGGTGGAAACTAACCAAGGAGAGAAGCCACCTAGAACTAAGGAGAAAATTCCTAACAGTGAGAATGAATAAGCAGTGGGACAAATTGCCTTTGGAAGCTGTGGGTGTCTCATTACTGGAGGCTTTTAAGAAGGGATTGAACAGAAATAGTATAGGTCTCCTGTGAGAACAGGGGGTTGGACTAGATGACCTCCAAGGCCCCTTCTGACTCTGTTACTGTTTCACTATGTGTTCCTTCCTTATATTCTTCCTTCTGCTATCCATGTATTTCATGCCATCATTGTTTTTTTAATGACCTCATAATCCCTTGCGGGGTGGGCAACTGAATGGAGCTGAGTGTTTACTGGCCAGATGCCCTTCCTGTCGCCAGTGCGGAATTATATTCAGCAGATATAATCTCACCGTGCCCAGAGAGAGAGAAATATCTGCCTCTACCTAGGATCGAACTCACAGCCCCATGATTGTGAGGCAAGAGCTCCACCTCTAGGCCACCGCACCACTCATCCATGTATTTCATGCCATATGCTATGTTAGGGAATGGCTATTGTCTAACTGGTTGGGTTGGCAATATATATAAACCATCAATGCATGTTTGCAGTCAAAATGTAATGTATAGCTTTAAGACTGTAATGCTGTATTGTATCATACTGTATTCTAATTGGCTGGCTCTGTAGCCAATGTACTTAAGAGGAAGCTTGAATCATGGCTTGTTTTTTCTTATTACATTATTATTGCTACCTCTGCTCCTCTCTGCCTGTTCTCTCTGCATGATCACTGCTTGATCATTGCTACTTGTTGTTTTCTACTGTTTTACTGATTGTTTTACTGCTGTACTTGTTCCTGTTTGCAACTCCAAAAAGAACTGTTTTATTGCATATGACTACAACAACTGGTAAGAAGACTTTGTTCTTGGAATATCCCTGGATTGACAATTTAACTATCTTTATCTGTGTATGACCTGGATTGTTTATTGACTTTGCTTTGCTTTTTCTTAAAAGTAAAAGAATATCACAACTCAGTGTGTCTATGTATTAACAGTGCTTATTCACAATCACTCTCAGCCGTTTCTCATGTGCACAACCTTGCTACTCAAGGGTTACTCTGCGCATATTCCTTAACATGCTAAATAAATATACCTGTAGCCGAGGATTCTTCATCATCATCTTCGTCTTCATCAGTTGGAGAGGTCTGATACACTCTGGTGTCCACAAATGGGGCGAAAGAAGCTTTTGTACTGCTCCCCATGCCGTACTATAAAGGGAAGAACAAAGAAACGATTCATAAGGTTGTCATCATCACCCTAATCACCCATGGTATCCTTGTGTTACAATGACTTCTATGCCCAGCTGTGCAGATCTAGGTTTCCTTGTTCGTATTTTCATTTAAGGACTACTTTAATGGTATAGATAATTCACTCCTGTAGCATCTAATGGTGATTACATGCGTAAATGACCCCTTGTGGCTCATATAGCAGAGAGAGCTAGCATTTTTCCCCCCCACGCCAATGCTTCATGATCAAATAAGCATCACTGCGACTCTCTCTTTGGAGAGGCAAAATAATTAACCATCCTTTCCAGCAGAACCATCTGATATATTCAGTTGGATTTCATCGGGCGATGAAAAAGCCAAGGTGGCTACACTCGCATGTGTGAACTCTTGTATGTGGAACCTGGAAAAGTTTCATTCAAAACCCAGGGCAGGTACAATTTTAGCAAACCAGGAACTGGTCTAGCATTGTGTGTTTCTGTGTGTCTGTGTTTCTTTGAGTTGGTGTTGATGCCTGACAACTGCCTGGACAAGACCTTGCAGTTTTGTTGTCAAGGTTTTATCAAAAGTGGTTTGCCATCACTTTTTTCCTAGGATTGAGAAAGGGTGACTGGTCAAAGGTCAAACCCAGTTGGCTTCTTGTCTATGGCAGGACTAGAACTCACAGTCTCCTGGTTTCTAGCCTAGTGCCTTAATTACTACACCAAGCTGGCACTATGTTAAGCTAGCCCATATATCTCCAGCTAGCATGGACAATTCAGTTGATCCCTACGTTTTAATGGAAAAGCAGTAATCAACACCAAAGGGTTGAAAAGTTATGAAATGTACCTTCAAATTGCACTTACAGGTGACATGGTGATAAAAGTGCAATTTTAGAGTAATTATACAGATCAGCAGCTGCAAATTTTCTTGAAAATGAATGGGACAGTATTCTGCCCTCTTTCTGTATCAGTGCTCATAGCAACTTTTTACTTTTTCCTAATTAGTCCATCACCTAATTCTCTTCCTTCCCCAAGTCCCAGAAAACAAGTGCACCCTCCTAAGTGACTCCCACAAAGATAGGGATTCTGCCGTGTTTAATTTCTTTGTTTTCCAATGTTAAGTGGCCTAAAACAAATGTATGAATTGGAGGCTATTTAAAAAGAAGGGGGATAGAGGTTGTCCTTGATTTACAACCATTCGTTTAATGAAGGTTTGAAGTTATGATGGCGCTGAAAAAAGTGACTTACGATCAAGCCATATCAAGAGGGAAGCCAGCACAGAAGGTCCCAATCAGGGGTGAAGTCCAGCAGGTTCTGACAGGTTCTGGAGAACCGGTAGCGGAAATTTTGAGTAGTTCGGAGAACCGGCAAATGCCACCTCTGGCTGGCCCCAGAGTAGGAATGGAGATTTTGCAATATCCTTCCCCCAGGAGTGGGGAGGGAATGGGGATTTTGCAGTATCCTTCTCCCGCCACACCCACCAAGCCACACCATGCCCACCAAGCCCCGCCCACAGAACCGGTAGTAAAACAATTTGGATTTCACAACTGGTCGCAACGTAATGTCTCATTTAACGACTGCGGCAAAAAAGGCAGTAAAATCGAGTGCAGTCTTACTTAATAACCATGCCACTTAATGATAAATTTTGCAGGCCCAATTATAGTGGTAAGTTGAGGAATACCTGCATTTGTTTTTTGGGGAGAGGGCATTTGTGTGTGTGTGTGTGTGTACATAAACAGGAAATCAAGGTAAAAAAAATTCATAGCGGTTGGATGATTTTCTTTGGAAACAGCCCTGCTTGCCTCCAAAATCAAAAGATTTCCTCATGAAGGAAATGATCAAGTCCGGGAGCTGGGCAAGATCAAGGAAGCAAGAACTGCACAGAATTCGGCAAAGTATCTTTAATGATAGTCTTGGGGAAACTGCCAAAGGAATTTCCAACCCATATCGACATAAGGGATTTCACTAAGGTGGAATTTCTTTGAATGATCTGAAATCCTTTCTTCCCAAGTTTTTTTTGGCATCTGAGCTAAACTGCCATTTATGAGATTAGCTATAAATGGACTCCCTGGCTGTCTCTTGGTTGTTTGCTTATTCTCCCTTCTATTCCTTTTGCAGCCTCCCTACAATCTCACTGCTACATTCCTTTTGATAGCTGCAAAGCTTATGCAGGGGCTGAGCTCTTGAGTTTATTTTCCTTCCTGTGTGCTGTTTATCCAGGGTCTGCTATATTTATGACCTCTGTTAGGAGTCATAATAATAGGAAGCAGCAAGGGGCGGGAGGGAGGGGAATTCTTTTCACCAGGGCTATTCGATTCCTTTTCCTAGAATTTCTTTCAAAAACCACTGCCATCCAGCACCATGCCTGCAATCCGGGATAAAAGCTGTACAGGTAGTCCTTGACTTACAACTATTAATTTAGCAACAGTTTTAATTTACAACGGCACTGAAAAAAGTTACTTATGATTGTCACAGCAAACCCAGGATTATGTGATCAAAATTTGGGTTGCCATGTTCCGGAATCACGTGATTGGCGGCTTCCGACAAGCAGTCAATCAATGGGAAGAGCCAAATTTGCTTAACGAGCGCACGATTCACTTAACAACCGTGGCAAAGAAAGATCATAAAAGTGGGTGCAAGTGCCTTGTTTAGCAAGGGAAACTCTATTCCAAATGGGGTCGAAGGTCGGGATCTACCTGTAGTCAGAGAGACATTACACTGAATAACTAACTACCTAGCCTACCATGTATAACCCAAATCATGGCAGAGTCTGTTAAAATACATGAAGGGTGAGTTTGGAGGCTGCCATCTAAATTTCCAGAAAAAAAGCAGAGTAAGAAATGGATTAAGCAAAAGGGTTTCAGAAAGAGCATTTCACAAATATTTCATCCCAATCCCTAGATATTATTAACGGTTAACTGTAGGTGGTTTCAAAATTTGGTCCCATCACAACTTAATGGCAATGCCACAATTGTATAATAGCAATAGCACTTAGACTTATATACCGCTTCACAGTGCTTTTACAGCCCTCTCTAAGCGGTTTACAGAGTCAGCATATTGCCCCCAACAATCTGGGTCCTCATTTTACTCACCTCGGAAGGATGGAAGGCTGAGTAACCTTGATCCTGGTGAGATTCAAACTGCCAAATTGCAGGCAGCTGGCAGTCAGCAGAAGTAGCCTGCAGTACTGCTTTCTAACCACTGCGCCACCATGGCAATTTCTCCGATTTGGTTACTTATTCTGCATTTATTAGGAAACTCAATCCCTGGTCACATCCTAGTTTGGTTACTGTAACATACTTTACACGGGCTGCCCTTCGTGACCATCTACAAATTACAGCTTGTACAGAAGACACATGTAATTTTGAGCACCCCATGATTTGCCCATGTTCATCTATCACTTTTGTGAACTACACTAGCTTCCCATTTCTTTCCAGGTGCAATTGAAGGTGCTGGTTATCACCTTTAAAGCCCTAGATCGCACAGGGCTAGGTTATTTGTGGGCCACTTTTCTCTGGGGGCATCTTCTCGTTTCACTAGGGCTGGTAGAATGGGCATACTCCAAGTCCCTTCCCTTAAATGTTACCAGTTGGTGACACTTAGATACTGCCTTTTTAGCAACTTCCGTACACTTTACCATGAGATCCGTCAGGCTACTCTCCTCCTGACCTTCCAAAAAGCTGTCTTGGTTTTTCCCCACAAGCTTTGGAGCTCATGGAAGCTCTATGGTTCATTTTGGGACAATGTTGTGCTTGAATGTTCTGGGACAAAGTCAGTGGTGGGATTCTACCGGTTTAGACCGGTTCGCCCGAACCAGTAGTTCCCACTTCCTGCCGAGAGTGAACCGGTTCTCTGTTGCTGTGATAGTGGGCCCGCCCACCCCTGGGTTATACTGACCTTTATTTCTGCTTCTGAAGCCCAGCTAATCAGGGGCGGCAGATTGAATTGGCCCTCCTCAGCTGTTTTCCTTGCTCCTTTCCTTGTCGCTTAGCGAACTGGTTGTTCAACCAGTAGGATCCCACCCCGGACAACCTTTCCCCAACCTTTCCAGATTTGCGGACTGGGGTGTGTGTGTGAGAGAGGGGAATGGTTCCGTGCAAGTGGAGTACACGTGCATATGCTTGGCCGCTGCTTGCGCAAGTTGGGATGTGCACACAGGCGTGCACTTGCCTGCCACTTCCACGGCTTGATTGGGAACAGATCAAGGTCCCATAGTGGGCCATGGCCCAGGGGTTGGGGGGACCCCTGTTCTGGGAGGCTTTTGTTGGCTTTTATGGTTCCTATCGTTTTACTTTTTTTGTGAGCCACCCAGGATTATGTTACCTAAGACGGGCAGCTATACAAATCTTATTTATAAATCAAATCAATCAAAAAATAAAATGTGTGGTTCTGTGAAAAGCGTGAGACTGGTCAATGAAGCTCTAGTCCCTTCTTCTGAAAACTCTGCTTCACAACGGTAATGGCTCTAAATATTGCAAGAACTGCAGTTCTTTCTTGTGTAACTATAGGGCACTGCACATCAATATTTCAAACACATAGCCATGATTGTTGAGGATCTTGGAAGATTTGGAATGTCTCCAAAATGCTGCTTAGTGCCACAACAGCACGATCAGTGATGAGAAGGTTTGAGCAAAAGTAGCAATGATTGCCTTTTCTATAATATACTTCCTGTTTCATTTGGAGGGGTTTTATAGCTACCAACATGTGGAACGACTGTATCTTGGGAGCATTCTAGCTTCTTTCTCATCCCTTTGTAACAAGAGAGGAAGTACTGCTGAGATTCTGCTTGTCATCTTAATAAAGAATGCAATTAAGAAAAAAAGAGCAGGAAAGCTCGCAACCCCCCCGGCCCCCCCACTCAAGAGTGCCTCTATAAAAAAGAATGCTACAAAGTGAAACAAAGGGAAAGAGACAAGTGTCTAAAACCCAAAGGGCCTCTGCTACCTACTTCAGCCACTGGCTCCATCTCTTGCCCATGGGTGGAGACTCTCCCCAAGCCCTCAGTCGGTGTGCCCGCAGGTGAGTGGCTTTGTTGCACTAGATCGGGAAGGTTGACATGGCCAGCAAAGCCATTGCTGGCTGGGTGGCCTGAGCGCTTGTGGTCACCAGAAGTCTGCAGAGACACAAGTCATATGGAAAAGAAGAGGAGGAGGAATTGCAGAAGGAAACAAAAAAAAAAAAAACCACAACCCCAAGGTTGCCATATCAACCCACACTCTTAAGCAAGCACAAAAACAAGACCCCGGCTTCTTGACGTACAACATGCAGCAAGAGGCAACTATTGACAGAGGTGACATTAGGAGGACATGCAACACAAAATGAGCTCACAGGCCAGAGAGTTGGTGGCAGCATGCTTCTACATCAGATCTTATGATCTTCTTTTTTTAAAGACCGTGGAATCTAGAAATGCTAGAAATTTATACCAATGGGAAAGGCTATCGGGGAGGTGACAGGATGCAGAAGAGAACATTATAAGGACAGTGGAGTCAACATGTTTTTCATGTTTAAAGCAGGTGTCTGGAACCTGTCGATCTGGAAATGCCTACAGGTTCCATGGCAGCCGACAACCAGAGCAGAAGTGCTGACTGTAGGATATAGAGCTTTCAAAGAAATGATTGGCACAAACAGAACCGCTTGACTAAGTGTCCTATCAGGATCTCGGGATTCTCGCACCACTAGAGCTGTGCCCCCATAGCACGGTTATTGCAAGTGTAGCCTAGCGTGATACTTGCCCTCACTGCAAATTCACTGGGCTTCTTTACTGGGCCAGAGATCATTTTAGAAATAAACTGGTGGGAAAAATGGGGGGAAAAAATGTGGATCTGAATGTAGTTTCATCACAATGTGCTTGCCATCTTCTATACAGTATCTTACATTAACAGAATCCTCTAATAAGAATGTGCTGACTTTATAAGAGAGCGTATTAAAATGTGCTTGACATAATTATTTGGTCTCATTCTTTATCTTTGGGTGGCGATGTTCAATTTTGACAATGCTTAACAGCATAGGGCAGGGGTCGGCAACCTTTAACACTGAAAGAGCCACAAAGGTCCTAACCAGAAGCCCCCCCATTCAATTTTGGAGCCGACCGGAAGTCCAGTTCCCCCACCATAGAGTCTCTTCCTAGCATGGCATCCTTTTTCCTCTACCTGTCCTAACTAAAAGCTCCATCAATTGTGGAGCTGAATAGCGACAGGGAGCTGCAGCAGAGGAATGAAAGAGCTACATGCGGCTCCAGAGCCACAGGTTGCTGACTCCTGGCATAGATCAACTATCCCATGGGAAATATAGTAATATCCAATACCTGCTACATTCTCAGACTGGTAATATTAAAATTTCCTTTACATAAGCTTTCCCCAACTAGCTGTTTTCCAGAGGGACTAGTCTTCAACTCCATAATACTTCAGCCTAACTGGTCTATGATGACCAGATTAGGACAGATAATCCTCAATTTATAACAGTGCATTTAGCGTTCTAAGTTACAACAGCACTGAAAGAAGTGACTTATGACCATTTTTCACACGATCATTGCAGCATCCTCATGGTCACGTGATCAAAATTCAGACACCTGGCAATTGACTCATATTTATGATGGTCACAGTGTCCTGGGATCATGTGATCATCTTTTGCAACCGTCTGACAAGCAAAATCAATGGAAAAGCCAGATTTGCTTAACAACTGTGTTACTGACTTAATGACTGCAGTGATTCACAACTGTGGCAAGAAAGGGTGTAAAATGGGGCAAAACTCACTTAACAAATGTCTTACTTAACAACAGAAATTTAGGGCTCAATTCTGGTCATAGGTCGAGGACTACCTGTATGAGAATTTAAGGCAATCTCAGAAGGGGACCCAACTGGAAAAGCAACTTTAAATGGACTTTAGAAGTAAATGGACATCTCTATTCTCACTAAATAACTACATTTCTCCCCTTCTGCATGTCAACATGGGGATCATCTATCAATGACTCAATCTCCTCCAGGAATGGGTAAGGGGGTTGGTCTCAAAATCTCCACATTTCCTCCCTAAAAATGTGCCAAAATGTTTTGCTTGTAGAGTTTGGTGATGATACTAATCCAGTCCTCAGAGCTCAAAAAATAGTGCAGCACGTGATCCCACACAGAAATTATCACTCCTGGCTTTGTGTGCTGCATAAATCCAGTCATAAAAAAATATTGTCAAGAAAAGGACTAAGCCTGTGATGGTGAACCTAAGGCACGCATGCCCAAAGTGGCACGCGAAGCCATGTTGCCCGGCACATGCGGCCTTGCCTTCCGGGGTTCTGGCGCACATGCGCATGCGACAATCAGCTGTCCTTCATGAGCGTGGCAGTGCTGAAACCTATGTGTGCATGCGTGCTGGCCAGCTGATTGTTGGGCATGCATGCGCGCTAGAACCTGGATGTTTGGCTTTTCCGGAGCGCGATCCCTTCGTGCACACAGCAGTGCAGAAAACCAGCCTGCACATATCCGCCAGCCGGCTGATTGTCAGGCGCGCTAGAACAAGGAAGTTTGGCTTTTCCGGAGCATGGCCCCAACGAGTGCGCGTGCACGTGACATTTCCGCGCAACATCACTGGACTAAGCTAACATCTGCTGTCTGATAACTTATCTTTGGTTCCTTCTAGTTGTCCAGAAGCAGGTGGGGAGCTTTAAGTTAGTATACTCATTCAGATCTGGGCTGGAAAGTTGCCTGGAATTTTATGTTCCTATTGCTGTACAGTTTTAATCACGCCAGGATCCCTTGAGTAAATGAACGATAATATCCTTTCTTACATGTTCTCAGTGAATTGGTTTGGAAATAAATATTACAGTTTAAGACATTTCAGAAGCAGAGTTTGCAAGAATTCCACTCCCTGCCTATTAAATGAGCTGTATAGAACTAGCCTTGGATCTCTTCTCCTCTCCTGATATCCAGGGATCTGTGCCCAGAGGTTGGCTGCTGGGGGGTTCGTAGGGATTCGGGAGAAACTTTAGCTAAGATTCTGTGCAGTTCAGAGAACCCCCAAATCCCATTCCTGGCTGGCCCTGCCCACCCCTCCCAGGAGTCCCCACACGGCCAGTTTTGGATGCAGGTAAGTGCAGCGCACGTGCAGAGGCTCAGGGAGGGTGAAAAACGGGAAGGCCAGAAATGGAGGCCGTTTTCACCTTCTTGGAGGCTCGAGGAAAGCTTCCGGATCCCGGGAAGGGCAAAAACGCCCCCCCCCCCCATGGTGCAGGAAGCTGACTAGGCCATGCCATGGCCACACCTACCCAGCAACCGGGCAGAGAACCCCTTGCTAAAATTTTTGAAGCCCACACCTGTCTCTGCTTGTACCTAAAACCAGTTAGACTATGTCTTAACAGAGAAACTAGGGATCACCCTTGGGTCTCCGATGCACTATATGAAACCAGGCTTCTAAGTACATTAACAAAACCATCATTTGCTGTTTGGAGACAAATGGTATGGATTAATTTTGATGCAGCTACCAAGATTGGCATGCAAAGAGAACAAAGCTTGTGTGGGCTAAAGGGTAGCTGATAGGTTGTTTGAGAAAATATGCTCTATTTTGGCAGGATCACTGCATCCAAACCGGAAATCTGGATTTAGATCCTGGCATAGGGCAGTTATCTGGTATTTTGCCTACTACCTTAAAAATGGTAATTATAAAATTTAAAAAGAAAATGCAAAATGGCATTTTATTTTAGCCACATGATTTTGGCTTGTAATAGTCTTGGCTTTCTTTTATCCAGTCAGTTAGGGCCATGTTATAAAAAAAAAGGTGGACCTGGATGGACGGACGGAAGGGGACACACACACACACATGGATATTTATTTTCACTGCGTCTCAACCTATCAAATCAGTCCCTAATTAAATGCACACCTGACCCACTTTAGCTGGGATTGCTTCCCATTGATTTAATAACTTCTCCTTTCAGTTGTCTTCATTCTAGTTGGCAACCCTTGCATTTGTGTGTAACCTGGGTGTTCAGAAGTTGTGTCCAGCTCTGGAACGTCACATTGTGTGTATCTCTGCACTAATGCTTGTTTGAAAATCAAACAAAACCAGTCACCAATTTTTCGCATGGCCACCAACCACAGAAGGTGTTGGTAACTCAAGCCCTCTGGGCTACGTAATCTGGAATTCACCAAAACCCCTGGCCATTCTTCCGAGCTAATTCTTTTTCACAGTGGCTAGAATAGAATAACAGAGTTGGAAGGGACCTTGGAGGTCTTCTAATCCACCCCCCCCTGCTTAGGCAGGAAACCCTACACCACTTCAGAGAAATGGTTATCCAACATCTTCTTAAAAATGTCCAGGGTTGGAGCATTCACAACTTCTGGAGGCAAGTTGTTCCATTGATTAATTGTTCTAACTGTCAGGAAACTTCTCCTTAGTTCTAAGTTGCTTCTCTCCTTGATTAGTTTCCACTTCTTGTCCTACCCTCATCAGGTGCTTTGGAGAATAGCTTGACTCCCTCTTCTTTGTGGCAGCCCCTGAGTAGGCAGGCTACTCTGAGGTGCACAGATTAGTAAATTTCTTTTGGTCCCATAGAGCAGGGCTCTCCAACCTTGGCAACTTTAAGACTTGTGGACTTCAACTCCCAGAAGTCAGCAAAGCTGGCTGAGGAACTCTGGGAGTTGAAGTCCACAAGTCTTAAAGTTGCCAAGGTTGGAGACCCCTGCCATAGAGCACACACGCTTAGTTGCCTATTAGTTTCAATGAAGCTTAGGTGCTTCCATTGCAGTATCCCTTCCCTTCCCCCACTTCCATCTGCGGTTAGAAAAATACAATCTAATCTAGCAACAGAAGAATGTCTGTTCTTCCTTCTAGTCTCTGCTGGCAATGAAAAAGGGAAAAAAATGAAAAAGAGAAAGAAAGCCAGTTGATGCTATTTTAGCTGAATTACAAGTCTGGCAGAAATTGTCAGCAGTGTGTTACAGCTGCAGCAACCTGCTGTTTGTGCCTAATGTGTCACTTATTAAGGAAAGACTCTAGAGCAGGGTAATGTACCTGAAAGAGATTACCCCAGGCTGCATAAACGGCATCTGCCACAATTCTTAAAACTCTCAATTTAATCAGAGGGCAACGATTTATTTAGGGGAGGACAGAAAGAGAAAGAGAGAGAGAGAGAGAAATAGAAGTCTGAGGCACTCATCACAGCATGGTTCTCAAATCCCATCAAGTTTAAGGTCACTTTCAGACAGTTTTGCAAAAAAAACACAGAGAAAACACAAATGCAATTTCGCACATGATTTTTGCCAAATGCAAAGAAAAAAAACGAAGAAAAGAAAATAAAGAAAGAAAATGAAGGAAGATAGGAAGGAAGGAAGATAAGAAAGAAAAAGACAGAAGGAAGGAAAGAAAGAAGGAAAGGCAGAAAGAAGAAAGGAAAGAAGGAAGGAAGGAAGGAAGGAAAGAAAGAAAAGAAAATAAAGAAAGAAAATTAAGGAAAGAAAGAAAGAAAGAAAGAAAGAAAGAAAGAAAGAAAGAAAGAAAGAAAAGCCAGCTCATTATATTACCCTTCCTATTGTACTATTTTGGTACAGCTCACATTTTATGTTAACAGGTTGGAAAACCTTCTCCACTACCATCTGGATTATGTCAGTTTCTTATGTCTAGTTTGCACAAGAATCATATTTTAAAGAGGGAAAAGGATGTGTAAAATAGAAGACTTTCATAGAGAGTGTTTTACAGCAGGTCTTTTTATCAGCAGACCTTAAAACATGAGGTGCTGCCAAGGAAATCCAGAGGAGGAAAATACTAGAACTTACATTTTCTAGAACAGTTAAGTTCTATTGCTAAACTTCATCAGGGAAGGACTGCTTAAGACTTAGAAGATGATTATTGACACAGTCAGAGAATCTAGATTGAAAATCTATCTAAGATGCCTAAAACTACTATTTAGGTGACAATTTTGCCACCTATATTTTCTCCTTCCCATTATAGATGCTCTGTTCCATGTCTACCTGTGCATTTCCAGGTCACAAGGTGAAAACAGATGTTTAAACATAACCTGTGAGCTCTGGAAGATGTGCCTGCTATTACCATTTTGAGGGATTTCCGAAGTAGAGAAAGTGCCAGTGAGTAGCTTGACAATTGCATGGGTATGTACTTTGTACAGAGATATACCCTAAAACATATTAAGTCAGAAGATATGTTTGAAATGTAGGCAGGGGCCTCGGTAAACATTTTAGAAACTAGGCAACGGAAGAGGGTAGAGGTGAGAGGAACACTTGGACATCCAAGAAATAGATATAGACAGAGACTTAAGAGAGGAATATGGGAGGCAAGTCAAAAAAAAAAAAAGCATAGCAATTAAAGAGTTGAAGCGCACAACAGATGATGGGTAGATGATTTTCATCTTTATTGTTGTTCTGATTCGCTTTTCCCTTTTCCTCTCTTTCGTTTAAAGCATAGCAATCAAAGTATGAAGCGGGCAAGAGATGATGGATGGATGATTCCTCTTTTTTGTTGCTACTCTGAGTTGCTTTTCCCTCTCTCCCCCTCTCTATTCTTTTCCCTTCCTCTTTTTTAGGCAGCTGACATGATTAGAAGTTAAGACAGGAAAGAAAGAAAACGCATCTTAATAAAGGGTGACATGATTAAAAGCTAGAATAAGTGATAGAAATAAAGGGAATATTAATGTATACATTTTTATTTGATAAAGTAAAAGTAATAATGAGAAATAGGTAGATTAATTGAATAATGATAGACTGTAACCTAATATAGATGTGCACTGTCATTAGAAATACATAGGTTGATTGAATGTAATAATAATGTTTAATCTGATCAGTTTCATTTGTATTGGAATGTATGGCACCCAGGTGCCACACTGTTCACGCATTGATTTGACATTTTTATAAAAAAAATAAAAAAAAATTGTAAAAAAGAGAGAAATACGCTGAGATCATTCTACTTCCTGCCATCACAATGAAAAGACAATAGAATATGGCCAGAACAGCCAATGCTCTCACTGTACCAGAAATAAAATTAGCTGTGAACAGCCTGTGCTTGCTTCTAAAAAGAAACTATAGCTGGTTTCAACAATAAGCAACACTACTGTTTTCTCACAAAGGGAAGTGGGTCATTTAATATCACAGATGATTACTGGACAGTGCTGGTGTTCTTCACGTAAAATGTGAATGATACACTGATCTTGGGTGGCGCAGCGGACTAAACTGCTGCTGTTAAAGTAGCACTTAGCTGCCAGCTGCCTGCAAGTACTGCGAGTTCAATTCTCACCAGGCTCAAGGTTGACTCAGCTTTCAATCCTTTCGAGGTAGGTAAAATGAGGTAAAATGAGGACCCGGTTTGTGTGGGCAATAAGCTGACTTTGTATAATATATTCTGTATAATATACAGAATATATTCTGTAATAATATAGAATATATATTATATAATATATAATGTGGGGGGCCAAAAAGCCCTACTAAGCAGGTATATACAAAAGTATGAAGGCTATTGCTTAATGCATTGTAAGCTGCCCTGAGTCTCCGGAGAAGGGCAGTATATATAAATCGAACTAATAAATAAATAAATAAAATCTCTCCCTTATTGTTTGGATGCTCTCCTTTTTTTCTCAAGACAGGAGTTCTGACCATGAATCATCTTCTTCCACTTGTTCATCCATGTGGCTTAAGGAAAAAAAAAAAGATAGATGGCCTTTCTTCTTACCCAAGATTGTTTTCACGATCTATAGGTAATGTTTTGAAGGAAGAGAAAAGAGGGAAGAATGGCACTAACTCATGAATGAAAGACAGAATGGGATAAAAGGGAGTGGATCTGAATCAATGTGTTTCCCCGTGGGACAAAACAAGATAGAATATGGGCTGGCTCATGCCCTTAGCTAAATTACCCTGCCTTCACTTGCCTCCTACAATCTGACCTTTTGTCTTGACAATACCATCAACCAAACCTACTCTTTTCATACAAAGAGAGGAAAGCCGTATTATTTCTCCAGGAGGGAACATTTTAGCAGGAAACAGCCTGAGCGAATGAAGTTTGGTGCAAATGCCTATGGAAATTCTCAATCCAGCTCATGGTTGTCCAAAAGATGCTTGAAAAATGTTTCTTTTCTCATTCAAGAAGCTGCTTCTGTTCCAGAACTGAAATTTCAAAGGAAAAGCAACAACAACAACAAAAATCCAGTTGCCTTTTGGAAATGCACCTTTGGGACAATGTTTAGTGCAGTTCCTTATCATCATAAAAGGACCCAAATTATTGGAGGCAATATGCTGACTCTGTAAACCATTTAGAGTGGGCTGCAAAGCACTGTAAAGCGGTATATAAGTCTAAATGCTATTGCTATCATGATCTACCAGATATTAGGAAAAGTTCATCTGTCAATGGCAGGATATTAATTATGGCACCCCACAAAGAATAGAATAGAATAGAATAGAATAGAATAGAATAGAATAGAATAGATAGAATAGAATAGAATAGAATAGAATAGAATAGAATAGAATAGAATAGAATAGAATAGAATAGAATAACAGTGTTGGAAGGGACCTTGGAGGTCTTCTAGTCCAACCCCCTGCTTAGGCAGGCAAGCCATACACCACTTCAGACAAATAGTTATCCAACATCTTCTTAAAACCTTCCAGTGTTGGAGCATTCACAACTTCTGGAGGCAAGTCGTTCCACTGATTAATTGTTCTAACTGTCAGAAAATTTCTTCTTAGTTCTAGATTGCTTCTCTCCTTGATCATTGCTTCTTGTCCTGCCTTCAAGTGCTTTGGAGAATAGCTTGACTCCCTCTTCTTTGTGGCAGCCCCTGAGATATTGGAACACTGCTATCATGTCTCCCCTAGTCCTTCTTTTCAAGAGTTGTAGCTTTGCCTCAATAACTTTTACAGAAATCCTCCTTTGTTACATTAGTGCAATTGTCTTGTCCCTATTATGTCTATGGAGCTTCTCAGTCAACCAGGTCATGGTTATCCCAAAGGTGCTTTTTCAAGAGGCAACTGGGCTTTCTGGTATTTCTTTGCAGACATTTCGCTTCTCATCCAAGAAGCTTCTTCAGCTCTATTATGTTATTCAGTCCCTATTATGTTTACAAATAAACCCCATAAATGTATTTTTCACCACTGACTTTTACAGAGGGTCTTCCTTTTCTTCTCTGAATATAGACCAAGATATAATAATTGGTGTGATAAGAATTATAATTAATCTAAATTAGCAACTGAGAATTTCTTTTGTATACAGGCAATCCATGACTTACAACCACAATTGAGCCCAACATTTCTATTGTTAAGTGAGACTTTTGTTAAGTGAGTTTTGCCCCATTTTATGACCTTTCTTGATACGGTTGTTAAGTGAATCACTGCAGTTGATAAGTTAGTAACTCGGTTGTTAAGTAAACCTGGTTTCCCCATTGATTTGGCTTGTCAAAAGGTTGCAAAAGGTTGCCAAACATCTGAATTTTGATCACGTGACCATGGGGATGCTACAAAAGTTGTAACTGTGAAAAATAGTCATAAGCTACTTTTTAAAATGCTGTTGCAACTTTGAATGGTCATTAAATGAACAGTTTATAAGTGGAGGACTACTTGTAGTATGTAAACCAAGTTTTTGTTTCACTTTTATAATATCAATTGTGTGCAAATTGCATGCTTTAAAGTCAGTTTGAAAGAAGATGAAGATCTGAAAACAACCTTGCTATGTCCTACAGTGTTCGGTGCTGTTTATAGTTAAGACACATCTTTTGTTTAGATGTTATAATTATATTAATCAGCTGCAAACCAGCACAGTTTAATCAATCACTCTGTGCTCGGAATACACAGTGTAATTATTATTCATAGCTTACGAAGACATTATCTCTCAAAGGCACTGCAGAGAAGAAATTGTTGCCACCCACTTACCTCCCTTATCATTAAAGTCCCTTCTCTTGAAATACTGCTAAATTTGTCAGGGTGGGGGGGCTCCAGACCACCATGGCTCGATACCATTCCTAGATTGTAGGACTCGTTGGCTGGCATTCCCGTTGGTCTGAAAGATACGAGACGAAAAGAAATCAGTTGGTTTCTCGTGATAAATACATGATGACTATAGAAAAAAAAATTAACCTTAAAAGGTTTGTAATTGCCAAGATATATGAAAATCAGGATCAGAAGCTAAAGGATTCTTCCTCATGTTCCCAAAATGCCGGTCTCTCTCATTCTTGGTATCTATTGCCTGAAAAAGCAATTGCACAGAGGTAGGTTCTGATCCCAAACTTGTGTTCTTTTTTTTTTTTAAAGGGAAACACAAAGCTTGACACAACATTTTCAGTCTGTCCTGGGCTTCTTCCTCTCATATTCTAATAATATACAACTCTGACCACTCCATGAAATGTATTTTCTGAACTAACTTCAAGGAGAAAAGACAGGAGAACTGGATGATGCCTCTTTAAATGGAAAACTCGTATCCAATGTTATCCGTCTTTTACTCTAAACATCAGAGCACATGTTCTCACCAAGCTGATGCTGAAAACTCCTTCAGGCATACCTGGGTATCCAGGAGCAGCATCTACAGGGAAGCAGGGAGTCAGTCTGGTGATTGGCCACTGCATCACAATCAAAGCTGCACCTTTCATTCATGTACCGCTATCATGCTCATATATAAAGGATCTTTAATTTGAGAAGATTACAGAGTTGGAAGGAACTTTGGAGGTCTTTCTTTTTATTTTATACTTTTTTCTTTTACATGCATAAGTGCTTTGTGAACAGTGTATTGTCTGGGTCAATTTGCTTACACATAATAATATTTATCCAATTTCTAATCTCTCCCTCTATTATCAAGCCAGTGATAAAACAAGTTCCATGTTAGAAAATATTCCGTATCTTCTTTATCCTTTATCTTTAATGTCAACCTATCCATTTCTGCACAATCTACAATTTTTTTAATTACACTCTCTTCTGTAGGTTTTTTTCCAGTGCTGTGCAAATACAATTCTTGCTGCTGTCAAGCCATGCAATACTAAGTATATATTCCCTTTATCATACTTTTCTGGTACTATGCCGAACAAAAATATTTCTGTTTTATAATCTATATGTTGCTTTAACATTTTTTCTAACCATGTGTGCATTTTCGTCCAATTTTTTTTGGCCTTTGCACATGTCCACCACGTGATAATATGTGTCCGGTGTCTGATTACATTTCCAACATTTGGCGGACATGTTTTGGAACATCTTTGCTAACCTCGCCAGTAGCAGATGGGACCTTGGAGGTCTTGTAGTCCAACTCCCTGCTCAAGCAGGAAGCCCTATATCATTTCAGACAAATGGTTGCCCAATTTCTTCTTAAAAACCTCCAGTGATGGGGCACCCACATCCATCATAATATCTATTTTGACTCCTAATATTTATTTATTTATTTCTTAGATTTCTATGCCACCCTTGTCCCTAGGACTTGGGGCGGCTCACAGAATAAAAAACATGTAACAATAAATAAAACTAAAAACATCCAAATGTAAAAACCCCAACAACTAAAATCTCATAACAGATCAGGGAATTTGCTGAAAAAGGCCGGTAGGAGTGGTCCTGCAAGTACCCCGGGCCCATGCCATGTAGGGCTTTATAGGTCAATATTGTAATAGTTTCAAGTATTCACCATACCATTGTAATTCATATTATGAGATTCTTCTCGCCTTCAGCAGAAGCAAGACGAATGGGATTAGGGATAAGGAATTTAATGTTATATGACTAAATTTCAGGCAGGCAGTTCTTGCCACAAATAGGCTATTTTCAAAGTTATTCCCTCAGCTAGCATTATTGTCAAGTGTATACGTCCCAACCAGGCCATTTTTATTTTTGACAGCTCTCCAACGTAAAATTGCAATACAGAATATTTTTCACCACATTAAGCAAAATACAAATAAACTAACTGCCTAAACTTGAGCCATATGCTTTTGGTTGACTAATGAAAATAAGCAACAGCTGCACATTTCTGCCTGAAGGCAGATATTGACCTAGATAACAATTACAGAAAGATAAATTAAAAGATGCTCTGATCATGAAATGGATGGACTGCTGAATTTGGTCAGCCTTCAAGAAATCACTGAAGTGTGTGTTGACGCAAATGGCAATGACATGTTCAAATATTAAAGGTGGTGCCTGCCAAATAAAGTAACTATCTCTATATTTGAAATACAGAAGACCTCAGAGAGGGTTCTTTTTTTAAAGAAAAAAAAATTCTAGGATTTTTCGAAAGATCCATTTCCAAATTCTTCAGTATGTGAATGAGAAAGAATGAATTAGAGAAAAACATTCCATTGACAGACTGGATTGACTGTTGCTACATAAAGAATATACTTTATGGAGCCCAAATGTGCTATTTCATAAATATTGCATTAGGAACCCCACTTCAAGGTGGAAATGTAGGACTTGGACAGCTAGGTCTTCCTGGGCAAGAACTCTCATTCAGCTAACTTGCTCAATGAACGTCATATCATTGGAGGTGTGGCCAATTCACTTTCCCAAGTAGTCACATGAGAAACTGGGACTGTTAAGGGTCATTGCCATCACCACTACTACCCATAAAATGCCTAGATCTGCATTAGAAGGAGGAATAACTTTGGTGGTTGATGTTTGCACTTAATGCATTTTCGAAGCAGGAGGGCTGCAATAGTGGGTGGAGGAATGATGTAAAGCAGACAGAGTCAGGATATATCTATGGGCATTCCCATTGTTTTTTTTTTAAGGGAGAGGAATTTGGGATATTGACTGATTGATTCAGAGAAGCCTCTTTACAGAAGAAAATACAGAAGTATTTTCTTACATCTGTTACTCCAAAATGACAGAAAACCAAACCCTCTATTTTAAATAATTGGCTTCAGAAGTGAATCCAGAAACCATAAAAAAGGAGGCATGGGGGTCCTATGTGACTATAGGGCCCCATTTTGCTCACCTACATCCTACTGCCGTAATCTGATTCCTTACCAAACAATCTAATGAAAGTGCATGTATTTACTTGCTGGTTCCCTTCATTACTGTTGTTGTGCATTTATTCACTTTTCTTTGGGCAGAAAGAGAGAACAGGAGACTAAGCTCCCGGCCTAATCTGGTAGGAAATCTTTTGTATACATTATGGGGGTGGCTTTTTTCAGCAATAGTCTATACAGAGGTCCCCAACCCCTGGTCCGTGGACTGGCACCAGGCCATGGCATGCCAGAAACTGGGCCGTGCAAACCAGTGAAACTCCAGCCATGGGATGCAGGCAGCATGCGAAACCCTTCAGTCTGTGGAAAAATTTCTCTCCATGGAACCAATCCCTGGTACCCCAAAAGGTTGGGGGACACCATATTTATAATGTCTATAAAACATTATTGCAACCAGCAGTTCCAAATGAGACGTGTTTGTGGATTTATCTTCACCAAGAGAGAATGTCTTACATAAGCCTTGGGATGTCGCTGACAGGCACGGTGCCGTCTTGTGTTTCACTTTCTCCGTCTTCTTCCTCCTCTTCGCTGCTTTCAGACTCCTCACTGGAAGAGGAATAATCGGTAACTTTCTTTAAAGGCCGGTTGGTTTCTTCAATCCGCAGCTCCCGCAGTTCTTTTGCTAAAGCAGTCAGATCCTGTACGAGAAGGAAAAAAATCCAGAAAGCAACATGAATTTTCACCTGAACTATAGAGGGGATGGGATGAGGATTAGGAAACGCAACAGTCAGCTGATGTAGAAGGCAAATATTATGGAATGTATAGATTTTGTTGTACAAAATCCTGTACACTCAATGAAAACCTAACAGCAAACTGTTGACATATGGGTTACATGTAAACACGTGTTTATGAGCCATGGTGGCGCAGTGGTTAGAGTGCCGTACTGCAGGCTACTTCTGCTGCCTGCTGGCTGCCTGCAATTTGGCAGCTCAAATCTCACCAGGCTCAGCCTTCCATCCTTCCAAGGTGGGTAAAATGAGGACACAAATTGTTGGGGGCAATATGCTGTCTCTGTAAACCGCTTAGAGAGGGCTGTAAAGCACTGTAAAGCGGTATATAAATCTAAGTGCTACGACCAAGTACCACAGACTTTAGATTATGCTAACTGAACTAACTTTGGCTATTATGTTTCCCATGCAGGCATGTCGGCCTCTCTATATCCATTTCTCTAGAAATTCAGTGCAACGTATCAAGTGGATTCCTTATCTATGATCATCACTAAAAATGCACAGTATATGTAAAACTCGCATGATAGCTTGAATCATACAGAGCCTCAGTGGTGCAGTGATTAGAGTGCAGTACTGCAGGCTACTTCTGCTGCCTGATGGCTGCTTGCAATTTGGCAGTTCAAATCTCACCAGGCTCAAGGTTGACTCAGCCTTCCATTCTTCTGAGGTGGGTAAAATGAGGACCCAAATTGTTGGGGGCAATATGCTGACTCTGTAAACTCCTTAGAGAGGGCTGTAAAGCACTGTAAAGCGGTATATAAATCTAAGTGCTATTGCTATGCATAATGACATACAAAAGATATAGGCAGGATGCATTTTACAATATGTGCATGTGACTGCATGTATACATATGCAAAATTGGCCATGAATCATAATGCTAGAACCTGGATTACTAGATACAAAGAATTTTCCAGTTAATACAACATTTAAGGTTTTCCATTTATATCTTAATAGTGTTGTTTTGAGACAAAAAGTTGTAAGAACTGTACAGAGATATTTATTGTAATCTTACATGCTGTCATGGCCATACAAAGGAAAGCAGTAGGGCAAAAAATAAAAAATAAAAACAATAGGTTTAATTAAATGAGTTAGAAGAGAATGCATTAAACCCGCACATGATGATCAAAACAATTGCAATCAACTCTCTTACAACCTCTCCCTATATTAAGACTAAGGAAGCTATTAGCATATTTGCTCAGATATAAAAGATTAGGGAAAAAGAAACTCATTGAAAAAAATTCAAGTTTGTGTACTGTTGGTTTGTTTGTTCCTCTGGCTATACTCACTGTTTCCTGCATCATACAATTATTTTTTTTGTAAAATGTCTTGGAATGTCTCTTAAAAACAAAAATAAACAGTCCTTTACAACCTGATAGGAGAAATTGAGAATTTTTTTTTAAAAAAACCCCTAATAATCCAATCTCAGCGGAGTTCTCTTTGAGACTTCTGCACTCAGCTTGCTTGACTATGTCAAGTCTCTAGAGATTGTGCAAGGAAGACAAAGAGTGAAGTTCCATCTTCCCTCTATCCATCAAGGCTAATACTATTCAGGTCAAATTGTGAATCTTTCTAGCCATTTTGTAAAACTTCATGAACAAAAACTATCTCAAGCATATTGAACTCTATGGGCAGATTGATATAGAAGTAGAACAATCAATTAATGGGAGAATTTTCAATCAATCAAATAGCTGGTTTTCATTGCTTAAACTACAATGTCTACTCTTTTGAAATACTGCAGAAGTTATAAATGTAAAGTTACCCAAATTCCCCATTCCATAATAGAGATAATCTTTGGAAATTTTAAGACATTACAAAATCAGAAGTCTCAAAATATAAATAATATCCAATCCATTGTTACTTCATGAAGCTAACAATTCAAATTTAGCATATGCTTAGCATAGCAATGCTATGAAATTCAGCACATAACAATGCCACGAAACAGAAAGCCTATGCTAAGATCATTTCAAGTTGATTCCAACCTGATTAACTCAAACAGCTTATTAAAACAAAGATTATCCTAAAGTTATAATGTATTAGCATAGCATTGCTATGCAGGATTATTTGTTTTGCTTTAAAAGCACAGCTATTTAATTCATTAGTGTGAGAATGAGACTACTGAAGATTACTGATTTATTATCCCAGTGCAAAAATATTGTGAATCCTATCCACAAGGAATTATCAACATTTTTAGTTAATCTGATGTTTTATGAGAGGAGATTGAGGTTTAAAAGTCAGTTGTTCAAGAAAAAGTCAGCAGTGGGGCATTTTATATACGTAATTTTTCTGAAGATCTGACAGTAGTGACACTTTTGAGCTGGCACTTGCTCTACTTCATTTTTTAAAAATGGGGACTTTTATTATTGTTTTTAAAAATGGGGATCTCCTTTATCTTGAAACTCATATCCCAAATATCACATTTTCAAAGGTGCATTTTAACTATATTTGGTTGCTTCACCAACCAACAGTGACCTAACCAAGTCATGACTATGTAACTAATGTTAACAATCCGCTTATCCAATTTTTTGTAACTTGAAGTAAACAAGAAACCCACTGCTGTATTTTAGAGAAAACTATTTTTGAAAGTCATATATTTTTTTCTTAGTTATGACAAACAAGTAAGGTAATATTCGCGATTACAACGTAATTAGGAGTTGCGAACACCTACTTCCACCAAAATTCTCAAATCTAAAAACTGGAGGACCAAATCTTATGGATGGTGCCTTGAAATATGTAGGAAAGGCATGCTCAAATAATGGGCAGTAAGAGTAAACATCATCACCATCAAGCCAATATGAATAGTTTAAGGACTATAATCATAGATGAATGTTTGACACTCTTCTTTTTACTCTCCAGATGAATACAGTCTTCCTATTCCCACACCCCATTGTATTCCTTTTTTATACAATTAAAGAAAATAACAACTATAGCTTCTACTACCAACAAACATAATTAATTTCTGGCCTAATCTAAGCAAATATTTTCATTGCTAACAAATCAATTAAATGCTTATGTAGTGGGGGGGGGGAGCGGGGAGAGAAGGGAATAGGAGGAGGAGGTTTTGGTGGGAAAAGAGAGGAGACAGATGTGAGAGGAGGAAGGAGGGGTTTTTTTTTGCTGGGAGAAAAAGAAAGACCTGAGAGGATAGGAAGAGAGGCTTAAGAGGGAAAGGGAGAAAGAGGCCTGGGGAAAGAGAGAGGGAGTGAAGGCAATAGGGAGGATAGGAGAGGCTTCTGTGAGGAGAGATGGGATAGGATAGAGGAGGCTTCTGTGGGGCAAGCCTGAGGGAGAAAGGGGGGGGGGACAGGATAGGAGAGGCGTCTGTGGGGCAAGAACCCGGACTCCAGCAGCCCTTTTGGGGGAGTGCTACACTTAGGTCAACTCCCCCCCCCCAAACCCCAAACGAAAAGAAGTCCAATTAAGATTTGGGCAGCATGAATATTTTTCTAATATACCTTTCAAAGTCCAGTAATGAATGACTCATTCATTCTGACTGGATTGTTTCTAATTACCTGCAGCAATACATCGTATTACTTTTAAATTAGTCTGCTCACCATCATCCAACTAGAGAATTAAATAGTAAAAAAATTGGCTTATACACTCTCAACAGCAACCCGATTATAATTTGGATATCAAAGGTAGAGCTTCATAATTACTGCTCACAAATCATTCAAGCAAGAGAAAGGGACCCCCGACTGGGCGTAAATGTTTCATTTCTTAGATTTCTAGGCTTCCAATCACACATGAAAACAACAATTTTAATCCACAGTGTATTACAGATACACTGGTGTTCAATGTAGCATGTCTCAGAGTAGCTTTACATGGTTGGAAGAGTTGCGAATGGCTTTTCTATAATTTCAGAATGTAAGATGATGATACTTCTGGGAATGTACTTCTTAACCTGCATGAACAAAAACTATAATAAAGGTACCAATCATCTTTGATGTAATAGCTGTTTAGTAAAGGTCCTGATGGGGACACGGTGGCTCAGTGGCTAAGATGCTGAGCTTGCTGATTGAAAGGTCGGCAGTTCAGCAGTTCGAATCCCTAGTGCCGTGTAATGGGGTGAGCTCCTGTTACTTGTCCCAATTTCTGCCAACCTAGCAGTTCAAAAGCAGGTAAAAAATGCAAGTAGAGAAATAGGGACCACCTTTGGTGGGAAGGTAACAGCGTTCTGTGTGCCTTTGGCGTTTGGTCATGCCGACCACATGACCATGGAGACGTCTTTGGACAGCGCTGGCTCTTCGGCTTTGAAACGGAAATGAGCACCGCCCCCTAGAGTCGGGAACGACTAGAACATATGTGCGAGGGGAACCTTTACCTTTACCTTAAAGGTCCTGACATATTTTCCTAAATTGGCTTCAATCTAGGATTTATGAACATACTTTGTGACCTTTGACCAGTTGTCTTCTCTTTCTTCTGTTTAGATATCCTAATTTGGAGGGACATATAGTTTGGAATGTTGAATTTATATTTACTGACAAAGAAATAAAGGGTATGGCTAGCTGACAAGAGCTAAACAGCTTGAAATAGATCTATACTAGTCTCCCTTTATTTTTTTGTGGGTAAATATAAATTTAACACAAAAAATAGTTTGTTGCGAAAGTGACTGCCTGTGAAGGCTCCTGGATTGAGGCTGAAAGGCAAAAGCGGAAGCAGTATGCTCTGTCCCATATTTGGGTAGACCAGGTTGCCCTGATTAAAAATCACTTATAGTTTGGAAGGTGTGGAAAAAGGAATTGTGAGAATTAGATCCAGGCAAAGCCAAAACCCTATACTACAGAATTGAAACAACTGATGTGATGATGCAGTCTAGATAGAGTACATGACTAACGTAGATCTTTGTTTCCTGAGTGTTTAGGGAAGTCACGTTTGGAGATTTTCTTTGGTTTTTTTACATGATGGTATGCCTGTTTTGCCTGTAAAACTGTAGGCTTTCTGACTCTAAATGGTAGGGAATAAATAGCATTTACTGATTTTTTTAAAAGTTGGAGGGTCTTTAAAGAAAACACATACCCAAAACACATGAGTAGCTAGCTACATGTCACTTCTGTCTCGGTTGGGGAATTCTCCTTTCAGCAACCATGAGATAAAATAGAATAGAATAACAGAATTGGAAGGGACCTTGGAGGTCTTCTAGTCCAACCCCGTTTAGGCAGGAAACCCTACACCACTTCAGACAAATGGTTATCCAACATCCTCTTAAAAGCTTCCAGTCTTGGAGCATTCATAACTTCTGGAGGCAAGTTGTTCCACTGATTAATTGGTCTGTCAGGAAATTTCTCCGTAGCAATAGCAATAGTATTTAGACTTATATACCGCTTCATAATGCTTTTACAGCCCTCTCTAAGCGGTTTACAGAGTCAGTATATTGCCCCCAACAATCTGGGTCCTCATTTTACCCACCTTGGAAGGATGGAAGGCTGAGTCAACTTTGAGCCGGTGAGATTTGAACTGCTGAACTGCAGCTAGCAATCAGCAGAAGTAGCCTGCAGTATTGCATTCTAACCACTGCGCCACCTCGGTTCTTAGTTCTAGATTGCATCTCTCCTTGATTAGTTTCCACCCATTGCTTCTTGTCCTACCCTCAGGTGCTTTGGAGAATAGGGTGACTCCCTCTTTTCTGTGGCAGCCCTTTAGATATTGGAACACTGCTATCAAATAATGGACAATATTGTTTGTTCTCACTTATGCTTCTTTACATAATGAATATGTAAGTTTTAGTTTGTGTAACTAGTAAAAGCACATATTCAAGCAAGGAAGATAACTGAATGGCAGCTCTGATAAAGCTCATGAGCTCTAAATAGACCCCAGGACGCAGCCAGAATATCCCTGGTGACACTTCCCTTTATTCTCATGTGGCTTTGAAGCCTTTACCACATGATCTTAAAACCGTGAATTTGAAACCTAAAAATCTAGATCTGCATATAACTTTTACCTGTTACACAAATGTCCAAACAGGACGGGAGAAAGTACAATTTTCATATTTCATATTTCTGAGTAAATATCTTAAAAAGAACATTTTAATCAGAACTGATTTTTCTATTTTTTTTGGGGGGGGGAGGAGAATCTAGAAATATAGAGTTTATTTTGGTTCCTGCTATCATTATAACTCTAATATGCCTCAACCTTACCTGAGTGGGTTAAAGAGATTGAGGTGGAAGATAAGTTAAATAAAAGTTTTACATGTCACACTTCCTTTTAGAGAGAGGGTTTCTGTAGTTATATTAAGATCTTTCCTCTGGAATTACAATTAGCAAGAACCCATTTTGTTAGATGTTGGCAGACAAGAAAGTAGAGTTTGACTTTAAGCATAACTTTATGCAAGGGCATGACATACCAAGAATAGACACTGCTGACCTTCTCTGTTGCTTTATTATAGGCTTGGGAGTAATTAGCACCAGGATAGGAAAATAAATTTATAAATTTAATAAATAAATAATAATGTCAGAAAAACCAGGTCAGTTAGAAATAAAACAAAACTTGTTAACTAAGTGTAGGTAGAGAAATAAAATGTCAAAAAAATCAGGAAGTAGGTTAGAAATAAATTAAAAATTATTGAGGGTAAAAAGAGAAAAACAAAATAACAAAGTAATTTCTTCTATACCCTGTTCCAATTTAGAAATACAAAATGTCAAAAAGCAAAATCAAACCGGTATGAAATGGCACAGTCAGCTTGTTACACGCCTTTGTGAAATCTCTAGCAAAAATAATGGTAATTTAGATTTGCCAGAGGGTAGGGGATATTTAATTAAATTTCTTCTTATCTGCTTCTTTCGGTCAGAAATCAAGGCACTGAGCTGGGTTTCTGTGCTTCATCCTGTGCTGAACCAAGCCAGAATTTCTTGAGAAATAACCCCAACATAAAAACAAGTGCAGATAATGACAACAAGATCAACAAACTATTAGAAACTAGACCGACAACTGTCTAGTCGAGGTAGTCCTCGACTTACAATAACTCATTTAGTGACCATTCAAAGTAACAACAGCACTGAAGAAAGTGATTTATGACTCTTTTTCACAGTTACGACCGTTGCAGCATCCCCGTGGTCAGGTGATCAAATTCGGACGCTTGGCAACTGACTCATATTTATGACCGTTGCAGTGTCCCGGGGTCATGTGATCCCCTTTTTGTGACCTTCTGACAAGCAAAGGGGAAGCCAGATTCACTTAACAACCTGTTACTAGCTTAACAGCTGCACTGATTCACTTAACCAATGTGGCAAGAAAAGTCGTAAAATGGGGCAAAAGTCACTTAAATAATTTCTCCCTTAGCAACATAATTTTTGGGATTGTAAGTCAAGGACTTACCTGTACTATAGTACCTTACAAATACTTGAAGTATACTTTAAGTGTATTAGATACTTGTTTCTTCTCCCCGCCTCCCCCCAAAAAGCCCAAATTGTACAAAATTTGTGGAGAGATGATTCACCAAGTAAAAAAAAAAAAAAGCAGCAGCATATGTTGCTCATATATGACAGATGTCTATCACAAAAGATACATGGGACTCACAGCAGGTCGACTTGGCCGTGTCATCTCCTTGCTGTCTTCCTGCTTTACCTTGGCTGGTTCATGTGGGAGTATGGGTGATCCTTCAAGCTTGGCATTTCCTGGGCAAAGAAGAAATCCAGTGCAAAAAGGATTAAAGATCAAATCAGGGAGGGAGCGTGAGGCAGGGGGAGAAGATCTGTTTCAGAAAATCCCATTCTCTTGGGTGCTGACTGTAATCTTTTCTGAGCCTAGATCTCAATGGGTACATGCTGCTCAGAGACAAAATCCCATTTCTTTCCATTCTCACATCATTGACATTTTGGTATTGATCACATCTGTGTAATACAAGTTTCTCCAAAATGGGATGTTTGGCTTAGTTTAACCTGTACCTGAGCTGTACCACTTCAAATGAAAAGGTGAGGTCACAAGACTGAATTTCCTACCAGGAATACATCTTCAAAGCCTTGTGCATGAGGAACCAACCTTTGGAGGACTTTTTCCTTTGTTGGATTTATTAACTTAATACCAACTATGAGTTAGAAAGTAGTGCAATTTTGGAATCACCCCATCAGGGAATAAAGTTTGATGCTATGCTATGGCCTCAGACTAGTTTGGGCACCTCCAGATGTACGGACTTCAATTATTGCTGGAATTGGGTATGTCTAGTTTCATGAAAAGAAGGACTAGGGGTGACATAATAGCAGTGTTCTGATATCTCAGGGGTTGCCACAAAGAAGAGAGAGTCAAGCTATTCTCCAAAGCAACTGAGGGTAGGACAAGAAGCAATGGGTGGAAACTAATCAAGGGGAGATGCAATCTAGAACTAAGGAGAAATTTCCTGACAGTTAGAACAATTACTCAGTGGAACAACTTGCTTCCAGAAGTTGTAAATGCTCCAACACTGGAAGTTTTAAAGAAGAGATTGGATAATCATTTGTTTGAAATGATATAGGGTTTCCTGCCTAAGCAGGGAGTTGGAGTAGAAGACCTCCAAGGTCCCTTCCAACTCTGATATTCTATTCTATTCCCAGCTTTGACCACTGTCTTATTTCACTCATTTGGAAGACACCCAGGCTGAGTGGTGGTTTGGGGATTTATTTGGTTGAGGATTCTTTCATCTACCAAGGACTTCTTCAGTTTTCTGTTGTAGAAAGAGGAGATAGCAAATTGGGACCCGTCCTCCCCCTTAGTGGCATCCATTTTCTTCAACATTCAAAACATAGAGCATCCTTCACCCAGGAACTGACACCTTTTTGTGACCCAAGCTAAATGTAATGAGATTTTAGAGATCTCATCACAACTTGCAAGTTAAGCACAAATTTGTGATCCTGTGGAATGTTAACTAAATTTTGAGAGGCCAGTATCGTTTAGAGGTGGACAGAAGCCTGGCACCTGTGGGCATTCTCTGCAGATCATATGTACTAAATTGTAAGCTTGTTCATGCCTTTGTGGTTTAGCATGATATATCAATCCAATGGCTTAATACTATTAGCAAACCAAGGTGATACTGTGTGTCCAATGATCATGGCTAAAATATCCTGGCTTAGTGTTTCATAGGAAGGCAGACATTCAAAACACAAACAGAATTAAGGACACAGGGGGAAATAAAAATTCTTCCTAGCATTACAGGTGGTCAGTTGATAAGTCAATGAGTAGAGCATGTCAAGCAGCAAAAATGAAAGTAGAAGAGGACAAACTGTAGGCATGAGAATGGGCTGAAACCTCACCTCTGGCTCGGTTCCGTTCACTGGAGCCAGCTTGGGATCCAGGCTGTGAGCCGGCCTGCGAACTGGGCTGTGAACTGGGGGTGCTGGAGCTGGAAGAACTGCCACTGCTTGTCCTCTGTATCAGATTTTCTATTATGGGCTCTGTTCTCCGCAGGTCTGGGTTACTAGAAGCAGAAAAGAAGAGAGGATGTTGTACCTATTTATTTGGATTCCACCTTTATTATCTGTTTATAAATAACTCAAGGTAGTAAACATACTTAATACGTCTTCCATTTTCCCAATAACAACCCTGTGAGGTGAGTTGGGCTGAGAGAGAGTGACTTATCCAGTCACCTAGCAAGCTTTCATATGCCTAAGGCAGGGCTAGAACTCACAATTTTCTGGTTTCTAGGTTGGTGCCTTAACAACTAGACCAAACTGGCTCTCATTTTATCTATTCAACTATTTCATAAATACTTTAGAAAGATTCTTGTGAATTAGTAAGTTGGGAGAGAACCCTTTGATGCTTCTCTTGGTCACCGCTGCAAATTTTCATTGAAGATATTTGGTATTGAAGATGGCATGTATCCCTAGATCTAACAGAATATCAACCAGGTTGCTCTAGTTTCTAATGCCATGAACATCTAAATCACAGCTCCCTCTTTCTTCAGAAGGGAGCAAACTGAAGTTGAAGACCATGGACATTCTTTTTGGGGGACCCTTAGATCCCCTTCCAAATATAATGCTTAAAAATTGCATCAGGAAATCCACAAAATTGGAAGGTTAGTCATTAAGTAGAGTCAAAGGACCCAATGGATAAAACTTCACTGTAAACTGCAGTGAAAAAAACAACCAATGTCATTCATATTTGATGGTCTTTCCCTTTCCCTAAACAAGTTTATGGCTACTGCACTGGGATGGAGTAGATTTCTTCTCCTCCAAGGAGAAAACTGTTCTTTGTGTTCTTTCAACGATTACTTGTTGACCCAAAGATCTTCACTAAGTAGAATAAGGCAAAACATTGCTACCAAACTGTAAAGTTGAGGCCCTGCAGGAATGTTCCCAAACTACTTCTTGTATGTGTAAAGTAGGAGAAGTGAATGAGTATTGTGCAAGTCTGAAAGCCTTACACAACATCTTAAAAGAGTGAGAAGCTATCATTTCTCATTATGTCAGAGAATCAGGCTTACAAATCATTACTGGCTTTGGGTACTATCAATTCTCCAATCAAACCTCTGGAAAAGTTGATAAGAGATCCTGGATGATATTAGATGAGCTGTATCATCTAATATCTGTATATGTAATCACAACTTCATAGTAAACAAGGGACAACCTAATTACATAGATATGATCTTCAAGAAATCAATAGCCATCAAATAAATATTGGGCCTTATCTATGATCATCCATTTATTTAAATTCTTTGCAGCATACCGTTTTGATTTCCTTAACTTCTGCTAAAACAGTATCTTAAAAAACTGTCGTATATGAGATATGCAGTAGCACGGCCAAAATAAAGTCATTAAGAGTAATGGGATGGCAGCCATCAAATTAAGGAAACCAGTAAGTGACAAGTTTTTTTAAAAAATCATTCTGAAAGCAGCTGCAAATATTCTGTGATGTATGTAGCTCTGTATTTCAGCTACCATAAATTATACACCAGCTAATATTGACTAATCTATTTGCCTTGTTCTAGTTCCCTCCAAAAGGCAACAAATGAGTTGATCTTGAGATAACTGAAAGGACTCTAGGCAGTCTCAAATGTGAATGTTCATCTACTGTAGAACACACTGCCCAGGTGTGTTATTTCACACTGTCCCGCTCCAGGCTGGCTGTGAGGTATTAGAAGAAATGAAGTACCACACACCTAGAGGGATCTTCTTAGCTGAAAGATGCCAACTTTATCCTGTCCAATCTTTTTTTTGATCTCACTTTCATCTTTACAGTTAGTGAAAATTGCCTACATATAGTAACAACATTCTAGCATTGGACATTGAATTTGAAAACCAAGTGCCTAGCTCCAAGCAGCAATTCCACTGCAAATTAATGAAGAGACATTCCTATGAACAATTACAGGTGTAAAAATCCAGCCTAAAGCATATGCCGAATAGAATGTCAGACTTCAACAAGAGGAATCTGGATTTAAATCCTGCTTGTTGGGGGTGACACACATATATGTGCCTATTGTACAGACATTCCACCTTTTCTTCTAGAGGTCATAAAGCACTGAAACTCAGTTTCCTTGATTTGTATCCAACCTTCTCCAGCTGCCCTTAAACTGTTCTTATATTTAAAGTGAGATTAGCAAACCCCATCCTGCTCTTTCTCTCAAGAGTTCAGATCCCAGCAAGATGAGAAAAGGGCAGCTGTGCCTAAAATAAAACAGGGTAGCTTTTATGCATGCCACCTTGAGTGGAAAACTATTTTGGTAAATAACATATAGATTATCTATTTTTAACTGGGTCATTCTAAGAATAATTTACTAGTTTTATTCTGTTTTCCAACCCTATATCCCAAATTCCATCCGGTTGGGAAAGGCAGTTATAGAAGGTGAAACATTTTCTTGCCTGAATACAACGCAAATATTTTCAGACTGGTTTCTGCTAGATTTGGAATTTTAGATGCAGAATAAGTGAGGTTTCCTAGGGAAAGTCCAAGATTTGCTGCCTTTCTGAACAAATAATTCAATCTTCTACTTAGACGGTGTTTGTTGTACATTGTGGTGCTCAAAAAAGAGTCTTGAGGTTATGGCTGCTTTGTATTTTGTTACTGCAATGGGATCTGCAGTGTGATGCAAAACATAAACTAATTGAAGAAAGAGCAAGAACTCCTAGATCCAAGACTTACATCCTTTTAGGCAAAGATTTCTGCTATTGTATGCCAGAAAGGACATTTGAAATATTGTGGAGATGAATGCTTGCCAAAGCCTTAAATAAATCTTAGCTATTTCCTATTTTACATCAATCCTCTAGCTCTTAATGCATTAGTTTAGTTAGATCAGATTAAATCCTGATTTATCAAGAACTGAAATAAGTAAGATCTCTTGCCCAGCATAATATGAAATATAAAAATAACATCTAAATCAATCTATCTATCTATCTATCTATCTATCTATCTATCTATCTATCTATTGTTTCCTAATATGATTTGATTGCTTATTTGTACCCTATGACTATCATTAAGTGTTGTACCTTATGATTCTTGATGAACGTATCTTTTCTTTTATGTACACTGAGAGCATATGCACCAAGACAAATTCCTTGTGTGTCCAATCACACTTGGCCAATAAAAATTCTATTCTATTCTATTCTATTCTATTCTATTCTATTCCTATTCTATTCTATTCTATTCTATTCTATTCTATTCTATTCTATTCTCTATCTGAAATATAAATAATCTACTCTGAAAGGCAGTGGCTCCCCAGAATTTCAGGCAATATCTGAAAAGGTGCCAGGCAAGATATGAACAATACCGGAGGAGATGCAAAAAAGGGAAAATTAAAAGAGTGCAACAACTGGGGTTTTTGAACTCAAGGTGAACCGAAAGGAAGAGGGGTTAATTGATGCTACTATGGAGAGAAATAGGTTTTCCCCCATTTCACAATGTAGTTATCTGCTAAAATTACAAATAGGAAGATGCGGGATTGGGGGGAAAAAAACATCCTTAAGATGTTCCCCATTGTGAAATTTGCTTCCATCAGATACTGTGATGGACCACTAGCTTAGGCAGCTTTTAGTGGAAACCAGACAAAATCATGGCGAGGACTATCAGTAGTTACTTGTCTTGATAACCCAATGTCACTTCCTTGAACACAGGTAGTGAACAGGTAACTGGTATCTTATATTATCAGATGCTAAGAAGCAACAGTGGGAAAAGGGCTATCACAATTTTATGAAGGCTTATGAGCTTCCCAAATACACCTGGTTACCTGTTTATGACACAACACTGTGCTTGATTGGATCTTGCTCGAACCAGCAAGGCTCTTTCCATGTATGTGTCCATTATGTTCATGCTCCTTTGAGCATTTTTTTAAAACTAAAGATGGCAGGGACAGGACTTCCTTGCAAAATATGTGCTCTCCCATTGAACACCACAATCCAACACTATCTGAATAGGGTAGGTGGTTCCTTAACTTGTTACGTTCTTCTTATCTACATCTCAAGAGGCTCGGGGAAAGGAAATAAGACATTCTTCCTCCATAGAACATTCAGCTGTGGTCTCTCTTCTAAACCTAGCGCTTTAGATGTATGGACACTAAGTTTTATCTTGGTTGGCGTTACCTTGCTCTTATGGGCTGTGATCCGAGTCGAGGTCCTAGAGCATTCCCATTCCCAGGTGAGTTCTTCCGAGCTAATGCAGGTGAAATGGAAGTAGTTCGTTGAGGTACCTGTAAGAAAACCCAAAGCGTGCTGGCTACTGAAGTTCTGCTGCCAGAAGTAGAATGAGATAACTTGCTGCGGCCAACTCGCTGTGGCCAACTTACCACTGCCAACTCGCCAGAGCCAACTCGCCATGGGACAATTGCCACAGGACAATTGAACAATTCGATTTAATTATTTAAAAGAAATAAAAATTATTTTAATTTTTGTCATGCACAATTCATTTTGTTCTTTATTTTGCAACCTTTCTTTAGTGATTCTATTCTACCATTTCTTTGATATTAGCGTAACTCTTGTCCCGCAACGAGTCACCCCACAGCAAGATGGCCATGGTAAATTGTCCTGTGGCGAATTGGCTGTGGCAAGTTGGCCATGTCAAATCGTCATAGATCCTCCCAGGCTCTACCAATATATTACAGGTAATGACTACCAGGTTAGGCAAATTTGCCAGTGAAATGTCCTCTAATTTCTTCTGGAAAGATAGAACTATTTTTTTTTTTCAGTGAAGCAATTATAAGCTGCACTTGGTGTTTTCACAGCACCTTGTTAGGAGAGAATGTATCATATCTGAAATGCATTCATTTTAATTCCATAGGGTAACTTACTTGTTTCAATCAAGGCTTAATGATCTTTAAGTTGCCGCACCAATATGTCATTTGCAGAAAGTCATATATGGGAACTAAAAGTTCCAAGATTTTTGGAGAACTGTCGTACTGTGTCCCACAGAAACAGGGAGAACATTGATTTTTCATCAGAAGCAAGGAATTTTCTTTGAGAACTTGAGGTGGTTTACATAGGGGGACTTTCTTTTCTTTTATCCCTACAGCAAGAACTCATTGGAGTGAATTGGGTTGAGAGTCCACAAGCCTGTAGTTATCCAGTGAACTTCTATGATTGAGTGGGAACTAGAATCTGGATCTTCTGACTCCAGGTCCAAGATATATTATATTACAATGACACTAATGATGATAGCATTTTGTTATTATAATGAGGCATTGACTGCAGAGTAGAAGTTCAGCAACACTATTGATTTTTACATCAGTCTGGGGATTAGGAGCCACTGGAACATTCTAACAGTCGCTAACTCAAAACCAAGACGTACAAAAATTCAATGGAGCATTAGCATGATAGGCCACACAAATATGGTAATAATAAGCAATGCAGAGATGAGAATATCAAGATGTTATTGCACTATATATTTATTTGCACTTGCATTATTTTAAGCCAGAAAATTGGTTCATCTAGATCAGTATTGTCTATCCCTAGTGTGGGGAAGTCAGCCTTCCAAATATTATGGGATCTTTGGTCTCAAAAGTACAGCCAGCACAGTCATGGGTGATGGGAACTGTAGTTCACCATCAGAGTTGGATGAAAGGGTGGTGTTTTTTTTGTTTTTTTTTGCTGCCACTCAGTTTTACTCACATTTTTCTTTCCATATCTACTAGAGATGCCCAGGACTGAACTTGGGATCTTCTATATAAAAAGTATGTCTGAAATACAGCCCTTTCCCAAAGCAAGCCATAAAGTAGCTTGTTTAGCAATGGCCTTGTTCAAAGAGAAAAAGATATTATGAATATACAAATACTTGATGATTATTTACGCAAATGTTTATGGGAGGTAGATTTGATTGTTATATACACAGTCAGATTTTTAATTATGCACAGATGTTTCTGTGATGGTTTGTGATCTCAAACAACAAATTATTTCTGAACTGGTCTGAATAGAAATGAAGATAACACCGTTCCACAGTTATGGCTATCTAAAATGTGATAAAACGGAACAGAGTTCTGTGTAGTGAATGTTGTATAATAGACACGTACTCTAACTGTAACTTCTGTGGATTTTGCTGCTGAACTGATGAACGTGTTGTTATTATTAGTGGGTGACAGTAATAATGGAATGATAATATTTTTATAATCCTTCTAATTACAGAAAACCTTGAGGCAATTTTCCATAACCATATAATTATGGTAGAAAAAAAGTAAAATAAAATGGAGTAAGAACACAGGAAAAAAAATATCCTTTAAATGGAATGTTAGGCAGAGTTACTGATAAGGATGTCGATGTAAAAAGGTGTGTCTGTGATTTTTTTTTTTAAGAGAATGAGAAACATGTCATTGTTGGGGCTGGTGTAACACAGAAAGTTAGGGTAAGCCATGGCACCGGTGCCACAAAAGACAAAATCTTCTGTGCCACCATCAGATCGACTATAGGGTATTTTCTTGTGTTTCCAACATGTGGATATTTTTTTAGTGCTTCCATTAAGGGGCATTTTCTAAATGCTTCCAACGTGTTCAATGCAATCACTTTGCAGATGAAATGGAGCATTTCACGAACGACGTCATACAGAAGATTTCAAAATGAAATCTGTTGCACACTCTTCACAGACAAAAGCTTTATAAATAACCTGGTCCTGAAGGTGCTTTTTCAAAAAGGCAAATGGACTTTATTTTTCCTTGAATACATTTCGCTTTCCTTGAAGACTAAAGCAGCTTCTTGGATGAGAAGCAAAACGTCTTCAAGGAAAAATAAAGTCCAGTTGCCTTTTGAAAAAGCACCTTTGGGATAACCATGACCTGGATGACTGAGAATCTCCTTGGACAACCTGGTTCTAACTGCATGTAATTTTTTTTAAAAAGAAAAGAGTACTTTACAACTATTTGCCTCTCTGCTTCAAGTGAATAATTTATTTTCAATGTTAATTTCAGGGGATTAAACTTTGGTTGATGTCACAGCTCAAGCAATTTAACACATTACCCATAGGTTATGATTTTAAAATGCAGCTAACCGAGAGCTCCATCTCTTAAGCCGGTTGGAGATCTCTCTGTGGTCATCTTATCGGTCAATTACTTAATCACAAAGACAATCCCGAATTCAAGACAACTTCCTCCCTTTAAGATTGGACATAAAAACAGTCTCGTCTTGTTTTCTTCACCATTGTTCCTGGGGAATCTAAGGTGACCTCCTTATTTTGAAAAGAAATTATCTGGGGGAAAATCCCTAATCTTTCTCAGTAAATACTGTATAAATTATTCATGACACCGGTGCAATTTTTTTCTTGGGGGGAAGTATGTATGTATGTATGTATGTATGTATGTATGTATGTATGTATTCTCTTTAGCCAGGTTTTTCCTACGTAAACCAAGATTTTTATGCAGCCCTAGTTCAGTGAAATCACAATCCACTAGTTTCTAGGCTTTTTTCAGGCAGCCAGCAAGCACCCTGCTGCCCATTGGAGACTAAGTCTCCTTAGTCTCCCAATGGGCAGCAGGGTGCTTGCTGGCTGCCTGAAAAAAGCCTAGAAACTAGTGGATTGTGATTTCACTGAACTAGGGCTGCATAAAAATCTTGGTTTATGTAGGAAGAACCTGGCTAAAGAGAAATACACACACACACACACACACACACACACACACACACACGGGACATCTCTGCATTTAATCAATCAGCTATTTGTTTTTCCTTTCTTTTCATATTTGTGCAATCTAAGATTCAGTGTGAAAGAGAGACTGTTTTTATAAGAGCCTTAAAGAAAACAAAGCAGTATCTGCATTCGTAGTTTGGAAAAGAGCCTTAGATTGCAACCTAATAGTCACTTCCTTAGGAGAAAGTCCAATGTATTTCAGTGGGGCTTAATTCTAAGTAGGTGCCTATGGAACTGCATTAATTAAAGAGCTACTGCTGCCATCAAATCGTGAAGGCATTAAGATTCTGGTAGTGTTTGTACAATATTCTAACTAATATTGATTATATCTGGAGGCATGATGTCAGCCCGGAAAGCTTACAGGTTTGATCCAGTATGGCAAGTTTTATGCTTACTGCAGATTTCTTTTCTAAGTGCAAAGCTGGGAGTGAGAGGGAAGGGAAGCCAAAAGACAGACATGCCACATTCTCTGCAACATTATTTTAACAGCCTTTTATATTATATGTCAGCTAGCACAGCGTATTGATCTCATGCATATTTTTTTAAAACAGCTTGATGCTGTAACCTGGAACTCCGTAGCCAAAATGATGCTGGGGAATGCTGTAAGGATTTGTGATCATATTCCTGCCTCAGAATCCATGCAGCAATCATTGCTTTCAATGTCTGCTTCTTACCTTGGCTGGTACTGTGTTTTCCCAAAAATAAGACCGGGTCTTATATTAATTTTTGCTCCAAAAGATGCATTAGCGCTTATTTTCTGGTTAGGTCTTATTTCTGGGGAAATACGATACTAAATGCATCCATCTGGCTGACAATCTTAACTGGGGCTTATTTAACTGGGGCTTATATTACAAGCATCCTGAAAAAACATGCTAGGATTTATTTTCCGGTTGGGTCTTATTTTCGGGAAAACAGGGTATATTCCATAAGAGAATCCACACACCCACACCCAGTGTACCTCATCTCTAGGATCATTTGATTAAAGATAGGACAGAAAAATCAGCCAAACATCCTTATTTTCTATATAGGTGAGAAAACAACTTGTACAGGTAGACCTTGGCTTACGACAGTTCATTTAGTGACCGTTCAAAGTTACATGGGCACTGTGACAGGGGCTGCCACAAAGAAGAGGGTTCTACCCTCATCTGAGGGCAGGACAAGAAGCAATGGGTGGAACCTAATCAAGGAGAGAAGCAATTTAGGACTAAGGAGGAATTTCCTGACAGTTAGAACAATTAATCAGTGGAACAACTTGCCTGCAGAAGTTATGACTGCTCCAACACTGGAAATTTTTAAGAAGAGGTTGAATAATCATTTGTCTGAAGTGGTGTAGGATTTCCTGCCTAAGCAGGGGGTTGGACTAGAAGGCCTCCAAGGTCCCTTCCAATGCCGTTATTCTATTCTTAAAGTGACTTATGACTGTTTTTCACACTTACGACTGTTGCAGCATCCCCATGGTCACGTGATCAAAATTCAGATGTTTGTCAACGGGTTCATATATATGACGATTTCAATATCCCGGGATCATGTAATCCTCTTTTGTGACCTTCTGACCAGCAAAGTCAATGGGAAAACCAGATTCACTTAACAACTGTGTTATTAACGTAACAACTGCAGTGATTCTCTTAACAATTGTGGCAACACAAGTCGTAAAATGGGGTATAATTCGCTTAACAAATGTCTCACTTAGTGACATAAATTTTGGGCCCAGTTGTGGTTGTAAGTCAAAGACTTCTTGTACTAGAACACATTTGACGGTGGGCTGTCTCCCTACAGCTGGTAAGTCTGCCTAGCTTTGATTATTTGTATAAAATGTTATATGCCCTTAGTTCTTATGGGAATGAGGGCCTGTCCAGAATAATTTTGGGTTCAGATTAGGGAAGTTATAGGGACAGAAACTTTTGTGTTAGCTTCCTTGCCTATTTTCAGAAAGACATGGCTACCATTAGAGGAGGTCAGGTGGTGCCTGCAGATAGAAAACTTCATTGCTTCGGCCATTAGAGTTTAAAAACTGGATTAATACACATCTCTAAATGGTAGTCAATAGCTACCAATGGATTTCTTTAACTATGCAGTGAACTCGTGCCAAGAAGCTATGGAAAATCAAGGAATTTTTATTTGGTTTTATCCAGATCATTATGTTTGCCTCAATAACCTGAGGTCATAAGGTTGCACATCACACTAAAATATCTAGAGTCCACTCTGCTGCAATTAGACTAAAGGAGATAATTATTCAATGCAATATAAAGTAGGGATATTATATATTGATTCTAATTATAATTACACTGAAACTGAAAACCAATTAAGTTTTCATATGGCCCCACTAACTACTTTTTGGAAAGTGGCTCTAATATAGTATTTAAACAACCGAGGGTGCTTCTATGCCTCGGAAAATTGGCGTTGTATTTGCTTGATGAATTTGCTCTTTGGTAGAAACTCTGGGGGCAACCTATTCCGTCTCATTTGCCTCTTCATGTTTTAAACTGGATTTACTGTGCTTTTGTTTTCATAGTATTTGTTTTACTGCAAATAATGAAGAGTCTTTGGATTTTGTCAGTATATAAATGGAATGAATGAATGAATGAATGATGAATGAATGAATGAATGAGGTAATGAGTTGTTGGAGACTATGTTTACCAGATTTGGATTGAAAAAAAGCAAAAGCAAAACCAGGCAACCACTTCAGAGTAGTAATTGTATAGTTTATGTATGGTATCTCCTTGCTGCCATCTAGCAGGCATCTGGATGTTGGCAACTGAAACTGGCTAGTTCTATTAGAAGCCAAACCTGGTACCCTTTTGTGGTCTATCACAGAGTTACAGTTACTGCCCTCAAAGGAATTTGAAGCATGTCCTGATGTATTAATGTATTTGGCCATTCAAATGCAGGAGTCATCAGGGCCATACTAGGAAAGTGTCCCTGGCGCCACCTGAAAGATTTGCAGCGCCGCCACAGAAGTCTAAGCTATTTCCTATTCCGAATTTTGCAACTTAGCATGATTCCTTTTTTTAAATTTATTTTTTTTTACCTTTGGTGGAATGTCTTCTTCCTGTCGTAACCAAGAACTTCGATCAAACTTTTCAACACGAGGGGGGAGAGGAGGCTTTTCGGAAGTGGGGTCCGAGTTCTGCCTTGGCATCTCAGTGCGGTGAGAGGTCACCGTTAGAGCTTCCTGAAACCCAGCCATTCCCTTTGTGGGTTGTTCATGCAGTGACTGAGAGGCAGGCAAGGAAGGTCCCTGGGATTTCACACTGACCAGATGTGGAATCTATGCACCAAGTTAAAACAAAATCATAAGTATAAATTGGAAAAAAAAAAGTTATTAAAAAGAGTATAACGAAGCATGTTTTTTTAAAAAAAATATTTGTTTCCACAATTTTTATTTTAGTTTTGTTTTGTTTTTTAAAAATAAATTTGATTTAAAAAAAATAAAATTCAGATTTTTCAATAATAAGTGGATGAAGGTCAGGAAATGCCAAAGATGAGATTCCTTATTTGGCCTGAATTCTGTTCCTCTAAGAACATCCGTTAAAGCATAGGTTTTTTAGTTATATGATAATGTGTTAGTTATGAAATGATCTAAGAAAGTTACATATGAAATGTTTGTTTCATTTGGCATGGTCTATGATATCCCAAAGCAAAAGAACTTGATTTTCCATAGATTATTGTTGTTATTTCCACCAATTAGTTTGGTATGTCAGATCCATGGTGTTCAGCAGCTTCTTTATTTTAAAAGAACATTTCAAAAAGCGGAGTGGCTGTTTTCAGGTGTTTCAGGTGAGTTGTCAAAAAGTGTAATGCTTTCTGCATGTACACTACTATAAAATTATAACGATTAGGAATCATGTACAGAAATGCATCTGCAAGGCTGGTGGCTCCTCATTTTGGTTGCACTGAGTTGCCAAAATAGAAACAGGAAAAAGTAACTTTGCAATTGCTACAAGAGAAAATAAAATAAAAACCGTGAGTCTAAATATCATTTGGACAGACACAGTTCATGTTGATACCAAGTCTTAGTCTGTCTGATCCATGGTATGCTCACCATACAGCTGGGTCTATAGCCATAAATCCTTACCAACAATAATCAATAGTTCACACAAGAAGGAAACTTAAAAGCACCTCATAATTTAGTCTGCTGTATGCAGTTGCTTATTTATAACTCCTCTAAGATATTAAATTTTATGTATTATTTTAGGGGCAAAGTGTGGTGGAATCTCCAGCTAGACTAGAGGGAGGCGTTAAGCGGGGACCGAGTTTAGAATCCTTGCACTGTAGAAAGCGGCACAGGCCTGACTTCCCCGAGAATCCCTGAAGCCTTATCTCACCATTCACAAGAGAATGTATTCAATCTGGCAAGATTTTTGTAACAATGGGACTAACAATAAAGCTTTTGTTTGAAACTATTTACAAGTGGTTCTGGTTACTTGCGCCTGACACAAAGGGGGCTTGGACACGATGTATTTCCCTTAGTTTTAACACAAACACTCAACTTCCATGCTGTAAATGACATATGCCAGCTAAAAAGGATGCGGAAAAAAAGCAATTACATAAACAAACAAACAAAAACCTTGGCCAATATTTTGTTTTATTTTAATTGGAAGAATGGGTCACAAGCGAGCTGGAAGAATTGCCATCCTGGACCAAAGCAGCATTTTATATGTTGTCTTCTAATTTCTCTTTCATGGAAACCACTGGTTTATCACCCTGTAAGGAAGCTGACTAATGTAGAAGCACGTGGGGTTTTTTTGCACAATTGAAGGAGAAAAAGGGATGATCTGGAGTGGAACTGATGATGAGGTTATGAATGGAACCATGGAAATGCAAAGACAAATACGGTACTATTAATTTCACTCATATTACCAAGAATCGAAGGAGGCAGCAAATCCAAATTTGCTCCAGAGCAGATTCTCTGGATATCCACCAAATATGCTGATATCTTACAGTATATGCTTCCATTATGTCACATTCACAATTTATTTAAATATGTATTATGCAAATATGTTCACATATATAATTCTGTGGAGGTTTGGAGCATGTGACAAACACATGCACAGCTTGGGCATCCCAGAATAGCTTCACAGGAACTAGGCTTTTTAAATAATAATGAAATCTATGTTATTTGAATGAGATATTCTGATTTTTTTCATGCATGCCCGGCTTTTCCCAAAAGATAAAAAGATAAGACACAATTCCACATTACTGGAAACACTATTTAAATATTCCTCTTTATAAGAATTCCTGGAACATGTTTCCTTATGACTTGACTTTTGACCTCTCTCCCAAAGAGCAAGGTTAAGAGCAGATTGATAAATTTTTCATTCCCCCCCCCTTTACGGTTAGCTCAATGTGTGTGACTGTCTAAATCACAACTGATCTATGGTCAAGATTTGACCCACATTGCCTCCCTATCTTGTTCTCTTTCCAGCCCATTATGACTTCCCCACTGTTATTTCCAGTCATCCAACCATCCAAAAATTTTCATTGCCACTGCTTTTTCTTCTGAAGGCCAATGGAGACAAGTCCAGATGAAATCTGCTGTCTCAAAAGCAGATTCATGGATTAAATTTTCTTCCAGAAAAGTAAGGAATACGTGCTACTTCATTGGGACTTGCACTTCTTATTCATCGGCCTCCTCAAATAGCATTTTCATGAACATCTCTTAGGACTGAATGACCTCAAACAACGGAGAGACATCTACTGTACTTCAATAACAGGATAAGTAAAAGTTCCTAATTTTATTTTCATTATAATTCCCAATCCAGAGGACAATATTGTGGTTGTGACAGCTAGGCTACATTTTTTAAAAATTTTCCTCTCAGATAAGGGGATGAGGAGAAAACAGACCATAGGCAGTGGAACTGAATTAGTCTATGACAAGCTACATGCAGAATCTGACTGTGTTGTTCTGAAATGTTAATGCTTGTAACAGGGTAATTGTTTAGAGGTGACATTACCTTTGATGAGAATAATCTGTCACATTCTTGTCTGAGCTGTATCTGAGAAGCAAAGAACAGGAGGCTTTACTAAGACACAATACCTGTGGATCCACTGATCGCAACATGGGTGGTGTCCGAGCAGGCTGCACCCCGCTAATACTAAAGGATTCTGATCGAGGCGGAAGGTTTGGGTCAGAAATTCTGTTGGCCACCTTGTGAGGCATGGCTGGGGAGCTTTGCCGGTTAAGTCTGGAACGTTCTTCAACCTGAAGCAAGAAGAGAAAAAGGAGCTGTGAATTCAAGTTGTCTGAAGGCCTTTGTCCGTAATACCTCTAAAACCTGTAGAGCCATTTTCTCAGCCTGTATTTCCAATCAGCCATTCCAAAGACAAAAATAACCCAGCTAACTATGAACTGGGGCTACTTTAGAGGACTTTCATATTAATAAATAGCACAATAAAATTAGTTACAGTTGCTCAGTTTATGAATTTTGTTCAAGTCAAGTTCCACCTCCTGTCATATAAATAAATATTCATTCAGCTGAATTTAAATGGTTTCCTAGTCATCAGCAAGAAGGTTAAAGTGCAGACCGAACAGATTGCAACTCAGTAAATAGCAGTCAACCGAAAGTGACAAAAAGCAATAAGTGAATGCATATCAAAATAGATTGCAGTACAAATTTCCAACACCTTTTTAACCTATTTTTCCCCCTTGCCTTGGCAGAAATTAATCCAAATATATAAGTATCCTCATATGAAAGTCCTTTTTTAAAAAGGTAACATAATCAACTATTTTATTTTTATGCATTTGGCTCCAAATGTACTTTGAAGGTATATTTAGCAGGCTATATTTTAGATGTTGACTTTTTAAAATGGCTATACAGGTTTTGTATATTTTCCTACATGCCTTGATATAGCAGCTCTCCAGAACCAAGCAGACAGATGGCATTTACCGCTCTCCAGAAGATTATAAATCAAAAGCAAGAAAATTCATTTTTATGCCAGATTATACCAACTGTGATCATAGATTCCTGCCATTCATAAATTTCATCTTTGGGAAATTTCCTGCTCTGAATCCAGCAGCAGAAAGAAGAAAAGAAAACCTGCATGAAAGAGCAATAGGCAAGGAGAGATGCAAAATGCAGAGCAGACTTGTCTGTCTCCTCTCCTTGGTGGTTTTGGTGATCCCGAGGAGGACTTTTAAACAGAGGTGGGACTGCATATGTAGCATCATGAAACCAAGAAGCAACTTACTGGATACACATACAACAAACAGCTTTTGGTTTCAAAAAAAGCAAGTACAGCAATAAGAAGGCAAGGCCAGAATATAATATTCACCCCAAGAAAAAATAGATTGCCAAACTTTACATCAAGGCAGATTAAAACATGGCCCATGTACCAAGATAAAAGAACAGTAAAGATTGCTGGAGGTTCAAAGCATTTTTCCTCAAAAGAGCCTACTTTACCGAATTTCTGCATGATCTGTTGTTCCAGTCATGCCTCCTTACCAATGAGACTGTAATGATCATCCATTGTTCTGGTATAATACATGGACCACAGGTAGTTGCTGAAACCTGAATTACAACACTGGTCCATCTACTTCCGAATTATCTAAACCAGGGGTCTCCAACCTTTGGAGTTCAACTCTCAGAGCTCTGGGAGTTGAAGTCCACAAGTCACCAAGATTGGAGACCCCTGATCTAAACTGACTGGTTTTGATAGGAATCTTTCCTAACCCTAGCTAGAAAATCTTGGAACTATGTACGCCCCGAATCTATGAAGAGATGCATCCAAATGGCTGAACTCAAAGGTGGCATATCCTGAATAGAGAATTACACAGAAATGCCAAAGGGAGCCTTTATATATTTTAAAGTAGTGTAAAGTTTAAGTACAAAGCTTCAGTAGTAAAGCTTTGAGAAGCCCTAGTTTAGAGGCTCTCGAATTCTTGGATTACCACTTGAGTTCCAAAGAGGCGTTTGATCTCTTTTTGAGGCCATGAGCATCAAAACAAACATTAAAATGCTTTCAGTAAGAAATGGCAATGATGCACTCTTATTAACGTATGTAATAATTAACAGACCTAGAATTCAGTGGGATATCTTGATTAAAAGAATTATGCCAACAATAAAATTCTTTCAGACAAAATATAATACCAGATTTGAATCAACTGTGAATGATAATCAGCAAATTTTTTAATTTGTTGGATACCTGCATTTAAAAAATTTGTTCTAACACACCCTCACCATCACCAATGGATTGCTTACCAACCTTCGGTGGTGCTCTTAGCCTGACAATGCTATAAAAAAGGTTCACAAGGTAAAACAAGGTCTAGATAGATAGGACAATGTTGTTTGGTTATCCTTAGGATGCCAAATGCAAAATGGTGCAATTGTGAGCTGTTTTGCAACTGCCTAGTTGCCTTTGTTACGCTCAGAAAAGTGGTGAAAGAACCCTTCTTTGGGAAAAAAAAATGAGCCAAGAGGGAATTATTCTTCTTTCCCCTTTGTGTGAAATAGCAATAGCAATAGCACTTAGATTTATATACTGCTTCACAGTGCTCTTTAAGTGGTTTACACGGTTAGCATATTTGCCCCAAACAATCTGGATCCTCATTTTACCCACCTCAGAAGGATGGAAGGCTGAGTCAACTTTGAGCCTGGTGAGATTCAAACTGCCAAATTGCAGTCAGCAGAAGTACCCTGCAGTACTGCACTCTAACCACTGCGCCACCACAGCTCTTGGTGGCACCAAACCTTGAAGAATAGCTTTAAAAAGGGTGGGAATTGGAGAGGACAAAGCAAGAACATATTGCTTGTAATGTCCTATATTCAATGCCCTGGCCACTCTTTCTCTCTCTGTCTCTGGAATGGAATAAACCCAATTCCATCCCATTGCAAAAGTATGAATAACAACCTCCACACCTCCATCCTTCCCTTCCACCACCCAACCTTCTAATCCTGAACAGACAGTCCTAATGAAAGGAAATAAATTACTTAATTTTGCAAATAATAAAATATTTGCATTATCTGTATATGGTTGACATGGCTTTAAGGCTGCAATATCTAAGCCAGAAACTAGCTCCAAATGTTGTTTGATCCTATGACAATTATGTTTGCTTGTTTGTTTTTAACTTCAGTTCTTGTTTGCCATCCTCCAAATGACCATGAAGCAGTTGACTAAACTGCCAAAATAGTCAAAGCCCATAGAGTATTTTCTCCAGTCCCTGAGGAAATAAAGCAGTGCATTCTGGGATGCTATCCAATCATTAAATATCGGGGCGAACCAGCCTTGGCAGCAAATTAAGGCAGAATATTCAGATTAAAACTACCCATAAACTAGGATGTCGTCACCAAACCTTCAAGCACTTTGTCATTAAACAGTCTTGATGTGGTACAACGCTTTGCATAATTAAATCAGCTTTCAAGTGGGCAATATTTATGATAAAGGAAGCTAGGCCGATCTGGAAGGTGTTTTCCTCCTATATGGCTTAATATAGGCAACTCTGGTAAGAGAGAATCCTTTATTCCTTTATGCAAGCAGAGTGCTGTTGTTTCTTTGAGAAACCTACTCAAATTCACTTAAATAGATTTCCCCGGATTGTTTTAGGCCAAATCTCTTTGCCATTCCCAAATATGTTCACCGGGAGAACTGGAAAAGTAAACCGCAGCACTTCTTAATAAAACAAATCTCTATGGATTTTGTGAATACTGGCTTGCCATTCACCTGGCAAATTTATTTCTACATGCCTCTGGGGAATTTTGGATAAAATACTATTTATCTATGCCTAGGTCAAAGATGAGGATGCAAACAGAGTCTCCTCAATTCCCTCATTGCCACCAATTATTACAAATTGTATGATCTAAATTAAAAGAATAGAATAGAACAGAATAGATAATAAAATAGAATAACAGAGTTGGAAGTGACCTTGGAGGAAGGCAGGAAACCCTACACCACTTCAGACAAATGGTTATCCAACATCTTCTTAAAAACTTCCAGCGTTGGGAGCATTCACAATTTCCGGAAGCAAATTGTCCCACTGATTAATTGTTCTGTCAGGAAATTTCTTTTTAGTTTTCTCTCCTTGATTAGTTTCCACCCATTGCTTCTTGTCCTGCCCTCAGATGCTTTGGAGAATAGCTTGACTCCCTCTTCTTTGTGGCAGCCCCTGAGATATTGGAAAACTGCTATCATGTCTCCCCTAGTCCTTCTTTTCATTAAACTAGACATACCCAGTTTCTGCAGCCGTTCTTCATATGTTTTAGCCTCCAGTCCCCCAATCATCTTTGTTGCTCTTCTCTGCACTCTTTCAATGTATGCAGTCTTTTATTAATATTTCCAACCTATCATTTAAACTGTCCCACTCTTCTGCCCAAGACAACCATCAGCCAAACACTCGTTGAGACTGTACAGTAAATCTGAGAGGCAAGCTATTTTTAAGCAGGAGATACACGTATATAGTATTACCTATTAACACTCCACTTTTAACAGCATTTCAGTTACACAAAGCAACGCACACTTGGGACTCAAGTTCAGAAGATCTCATTCACAACAAGCTCACTGGTCTGAGTGCAGATTTTATTTCAGCTCCTCAGAGCTTTACACTGACCTAAGAAAAAGCTGTAACAAATGGGTTTCATGACACACAATACCTTTGTCCAGAACCTTGCACACTTGTCAAAGCTTTCACTGTTGTTTATAAACTTTGGTAAACAGTTGAACAAACCACACTTTGGAGTAAAAGCAGTTTAACTTTTATTTATGTTGTAATTAGTCTTAGCAGCAATGGGAACACATATAGAGGTCTCCAACTCCCTCACTGCCACCAATTGTTAAAAAGAAAAAGCGTTTCACAATCTGAATTCAAAGTTATGCCACCTCTTCAATTAATATTTCCAACCAATATTTTAAAATAAGCACTTGATTTTTTCTTTTAATTAGATTCGAGCATGCATGGAATATAAAACAGCCCGCTCTTCCCTGACAGTCATACCCACAAAAAGATTTCTTCATTCAAGGAATGAAAAGAACTTTGGGGGAATTACATCTTCTTTTTGGAGACCCCAGAGAAAAGAAAGATGCCAGCAGCAGCTAGATATGAAGCGTGTCAGATTACAGACAACAAAAGATTTACTTTTTCATATCTTCCCACGACAGCAGCTAATTGAAGCCCCAACTAGTGTTTGATAAGCATAAGAATATTTGGATCTGCATGCGTTCCTTTGCTTATGGCTCATAAAAGGATGTGATATCTTGAGAACTGTTCTTTAA